CCCTCCTGAAATAGGAGGGATTCATCTGCCATTTGCAATTCGCCGAGCCTGTTTCTAGTGATCCACCCCGATAGTTATAAGGGTATCCATCTAGGATAGGCACTGACCTTTGTCTCAGACCTTCCCAGGGGCGTGAGCAGGAATTGAATTTCCTCGGTAGTAGCCCCTTTAGCGAGCATTTCACCCAACCCACTCTATTACGATACTAATTAATTAATTTATATGAACACAATTCCTTCTTGGCCTAGTTGTGGGACGCCTCTTTTTACTCAACCGTTGGCACCTTGAGTCGAAGCTTATTATACTCCTACTTGCTCTCTGCAAGCGTCTTCAAGACATCCCATTTTAGAGATTCGTTACCAAGGGCCAAATTGACTTAAAGAGTATTTTGCGCATGCGCAATGAATGGAAACCTCATAAATGAATTGATTAGAGTAGAATTTGTGTAATACTAACGCGTTCCTGTTTCATCCAGTTCCAATTTTTTGCAGCATTTTTCATCAAAAGTCACGTTTGTACTCTTTTGTAAAAAAGTAAACATTTGTCAATGATGACCGACAGTATGTAAAATTTTCTCGTCAAATTAATGTACAAACCGTTTAGCAATATTGACCTAACAACAGCGGTGTTTTATCAGCTGGGAATTGGCGACACAACAAATTGAACGGAATCGTGTCGGAAGTGTTTTCTAGAATCAACAGTTTTGACCATGAAAACGGATTTCTTGGCTGGAAAAAAAAATCCCAGAAACCTTGACCTTCTTAGATAAGATCACTGATGTTTAGTATTTATTGATTGTTTTATGAAAAGGGAAAAAAAAGCCAATTTTTAAAACGTAGAAGTTTTGAGAGAAATTATTTCCTTGCAATAAAATGGTAGAATTTTTACCCAATATTTGATAATTTCATGAAACTTCTAAATAACGTCCTCCTTTTATCAATTGTTCGAGAAGCATTTTCCTCTGACGATAAAGAAATACAATTTTGCCTTGGTTTAAAACAGTTGCAGTTGTTTCTCTCAATTAAAGGAATCACTGGAAAAGAAATTACCCAGAAGCTATTCTGTGCGAATACGCAAACTTCTTTGAAAATAAACATTTACAATTTTTTTGCTTTGTCGAATGTTTGAAAGTTTGTAAATGGATTTTAAGCTTGTCAATATACAAATATGTTTTTTTTATTTTTGAAATAAAATGATTGGAAGTTCAGCCGTCTTAAATTGAACGATTTTGTTTTCGACTTTTTCTTGACAATCTTTTTTCTTCGTCGACGTTTTACAAGGACAAAAGGCTTTGATGAGGCTAGAGACGTACAGTCAGTTTTGGCAATCGAAAATTCTGGAGAATCATTGTTTTTATTGCAGATAAAGGTTGTAGGAGGATTTCTAAAGTCCTGGGGCTTTTAAAGTTTGTTATCAAATCACCTAGGGTCTTGGATAACAATGTCGAGAAATCCAAGCAACAAGGCTGACATCTTGTTCCGTTAAACCGCCAATTCGACAGCTCAGTTTTCTTTCGACTAAGGCAAAAGCTATTTTTTTTAACGGGTATTTAATCGTGTTCTCTGGGACGAACCAAAAAGAGAGTTAAAAATGTTATCTCTATTTGGGATTTGTTGAAAAATAGCAACAACTGTCCTTAGCTTTAAGAGATAATCTTCAAATAAGATAAATCTAAGAAGCGACATCAGCTGCTAATGGTATATTACCATCAGTGGGGCAATTCAGTACAAAACAGAAAGGCTATTCCCCCTTTTCTTTTCTACTTTTTAGCTGTTCTCAAGGTGTAAAAATTTGCCATTCTCTCATGAGAAATAAATGAGAACAGCGTTGTTAAGAACGAGCAAGAGTTGCATGTGAAAAAAAACGTTCCTGCAAACTTGTCTCTTTGCATAAGCTGCTGTTCGAGTCTTAGACATAAAGCTCATTTGGTTGTATTGCAGCAAAACTACTTGCGACTGTATTAGGTGTTTACGATCAAACTTAACCTCTTAAAGGTCGGAAAACACAATAAACCTTTCCCTATTGTTTCATCGCTTTTTTTAGCGTTAGAATATTCTTAAATGAACTTGAAGACACAAACAATATCCGATTTGTCTCGACATCAAATGATTTCTTTACATTATTTTTAAAACCGGGCAACTCTCTGAGGTGTAAAAACACTGGAGTTTTGTTTGTCTTCCTTGTTAAATCCCTCTAGTAACGGTTCAAGGTATTATTTATGACAAGACAATACCTATTGAACGTTTAACAGCTTAACTAAAAGCTATTGCGGCGTTTTTGTGATGTCGACAAAACACAACGAAAACTGAAAAGGCGTGTTTGTGGTCAAAGCATGTTGCCAAGGGTAACCTCCCTTTGTTAAACCTCAAGTTGATTTTATATTAACAAAACCAACAATTGTTCTTTTTAATTCCTTTAGCTGTCTTTGTTCCTGGCGGCAATATTTTACAATAATACTGTCTGAGGAAAATGTTATCAAAATAGCTCAGAACGCTCAAAGTTATTCCGTTGGCTGAAATAAAAAGTTAGTACACTTTAACGTAGATTTAAAAATAATTTACACTTGAGCTGTACCGTTTGGTTCCTCGATGCCAAGTTATAGAGAAAGCTTTTTCTACAGGTTATTTTTGTAGATGCGTGGGTTTGTCAAAATGATTTGAGAGCTTTTATGACTGCCTCCAGATTCTTTTATCTCAGCTTTCACTCAGTCAGACACCTGTAAGTGAATAGATTGAATGATATAACAACTTCACTTTCATGTATTTCTGTTTTGGCGATGAAAAGTGAACTAAAGATTTCCAGTTGCATAGTTTCGTGGTTTATTATTGTCCAAAACAGAAGACGCATTTGTTTAAGTAAGGTTAAAAATAGTTGGCGGCTAGTGAGGAACATGAAAACTGGCTTCGCCTGCGGGAAAGATATACTGAACATTTTTTGCCAGACGCAATACTATGTCAGAGCTCTTCCAATTTTGTGCGGGATATGTATGATTTTGCTTAAAAGAATATGCCTAGGTCGAAGATCTTTTGAACTCTAGTTTCATTTACGATCAATTTATCCTATACAATTTCTTTTCCTGTCAATATCACTTTGTAGATAAAATGTAAAACATTGTTAGAGGTCAGGATGAAATTTCAGAGCTGGAGGTATTTTGCTAGGTAATTCATACCGTAATTTAGTCTCGGGCAAAATCTGCTGGGCTTGACATTTGCTTGTAATTTTTGAATCAGCTCTTTTGAAACCGTAAAACTTGGAGCAGAAATAGGGTTTTAAATAGATTATAATTCCCAGCGTTCGGACTTTTTTGCCGAGCCTAAAACGAAGAAAGCTTGAAATTACATCGTTAAGGGTTTTTTTTAGTGAGGGTGATGTCGCTTAAAACTTTTAAGCATAAAAGGAAGTATTAATAACGTCCCTTGAGAGCTTTTTATTAGAGAACACTTAAACTTATTCGAGACAACCAAACAAACCGCCTCGCTTTAAGAACTTTTTAATATTTACCCTGTTCTTTTGCAATTAAAGGGAGAAAGAGTGTTTACCCGAGCTGTAATTGCCCGTCAACAGTAAAAATGAGTTTTAACGCCAACGGAAATTTCATAAATGATTCAGTAAATTCAATATTCGCTAAGAGAGCCGCGCTCGCCTATAACCTTGAGTAATTTGAATTTGCAAGGTGTTCCTTATACTTAGCTTACAAGTGCACTTTGCCTCTCGATTGAACATTAGTGGGTTTTTGTTGTTAAAATGTGGTCGATGTGACTCAAATGAGACAAAAACCGGATGTCCACGTAGAAGGTCAAATCTTGCTTCAGGCACTCCTTGTTATTTATTTGCACGCGATTAAAACGAGAGAAAATAGGAAAAGGCAAAAGCCTGTTGAATTAATTTTGTCATTGGCGAGACAAATTTTCCCAATATTTTCACCTGTCTTCAAACACGGACTAAAACATTTCTGACGGTATAGATTTAATTGAAGTTAAGTGCATGCTCTCTCACGTACAGCGAGAACTGTCCATTTGCAAAGTAAATGCTATTTATACTCGTAAGAATGGAAGATTCTGCTTGGGGGCAAGCTAAATATGTACATAAATTCGTCGATGCGTTTTTGAAAAATTACAATCAATTAGAACAGAATTATTAAATTTCCTGTTCATTCACGTAGTTAAACCCACACCTTTCAAATGGTTTTACCTTTTAGAGCTAATTTTTTTTTTGAGGAATTTTGTACAAGGGAGTGTGCGAAAACCTCGCTCGACGAGCGCGTTGTTTTTTCGTTGGTGCTTTGATTGAGGCGGGACTTAGTCGTCAGCAAACAAAAGCTGGCTACTACATGGCTGTGCTACGGAAATGTAGTCATCTACCTCCCGCTGACTGTGCTCAACTCAAGTGTTCTGGTTTAAAAAGCCTCGCTTGACACTCGTACATAAAACATGAGCTAACTTTGCCTTTTAAAAGATCGACCGGAGAGTGTTTTGCAAAACATTGGGTGGTCTTTTAGAAAGTTCCATGTGTTTGGCCTTTTCTGACGCCCGCCCGCCAGGGTCTTTTTAAAAGGAGTTCCGTCTTGAAGGCTTGTTTTGGCGTTCTTGTTTTGCAATCACTCGTGCAGGAAAATTCACGAATTTTTATCCGTACGAACTTACGTACCGCATTCCTGTGACTCCTAAGGTGCCCTTGATGAAAGCTTTCAAGAGGACTCCGTAATAATGATTCTGTAATAAAAACACGAAAAGACGAACTAAACAAAGGGAATTTTAACATTGCTAAGTTTTTATCAGTGCGCGAAAAAGAGATGCTGAGTTCGTGACTAGCGCCTCATCGCATCTGCGCGAATTCGTTTAAACGTTGCAGGCGATACAATGAAAATTTCGTTGCTTCTCGAGCGAGTTTTTTTTTTAACTAGAGAAGCACTTTGATTTGGCAGAAATTTTTTAGAGTTGTGTAAAACAGTTATACTGAAACACGGGACATTGATAAACACATGACTTACACCTGTTGACTAACAGTCTTTATTTCGTCTGAATTCAACTCACAAGTTTTTAGAACAAACAGTATGTTGCATAATAATTTCATTTTTATTATTATTATTATCTATGTCTCAGAAAAGTGATTAAATTCCTCTTTCTAACACTGTAACTATCTCGGTATGTTTTATGCTTAGTGTTTGGCATGGGATGTTAACTTTATATGTACCTCAGCATCTGAGGTCGGTCGGTTGAATTAGCTCACACTTAAATTATAAAATAGCTTTGTAAAACATTCACAATTTCATACACAAGTTCCTCAAGGGAACAATCTCTTATGTTACATTTTTTTTCGTCTCTCAAATCGCTTTATATTACAACATATTTCAACTGATAACTCGTGATAAAATTTCATGTATATTTGGCCTTTTTCCTTGCAGCCTGTGTGTGTTTCTAGTTGAGTAGATAACATGGTTGTTGCTGAATGCCCCAAGGCAATAAACTGTTTTATTTACTTAATCTTTCCTAATGGCTTGGCGAACTCTCGAGCGGCATTTTTAATTGATGAAACGATAACTGGGTGTTCTGCTCGGTCTGGTTTGCCAGATTGAATAAAAATAGTACGCCACTTAGACTAGAGGTGGTTTGTTCCTTTTTGTTTTCAGCAGATTACACGGATTCCCGGTAACTCGAAGCAGACTATCAAAGAGAAAGCAAGCTTTGTTCCTATGCATTAAATAACTCTTTCTTTTTCTCTCTATACAATACATTGGCAGCTTTACAATTCGGGAATGAATCCTTTGAATCACTGATGCTTTCACCAAACCTCGGCTGTAGAAGGTATTGTGTTTTGTTGCCTTGTGGCAGAAGTGTCGTAAAGTCCACCATTCTGGCTCTGACCTACACCACAATGGTTCATTTGTATTCCCGTGCTGTTATCCAGACTGACAGAATTAACCGGAATCATTCCTTGGTTGTTAAATCCAGGATTCTGAATCATTTGAGAATTATCCATTGTCGTGGGAACTTCACTCGCTAACCCAGCATCACCCTTCATGTAAAACTCATCAAAGGCCGTCGCCGGAAAGTGTGCACTTTGAGAAGCTAAACGTGGGAAAGAAATAAATAAAACGTGAGAAAAGTCAAACAAATAAGCTTATCCTGTGATAAAACCAAACCTTAAATTCGCATTAAAAACGCCTTATCTGTAGAATGAAACACGGAATACCTCACAAAGTTCTCTTAATCTACATTTCTGTTGAATTATATTTAAAAACAAACTCATTGTGGTTTTGAAGAGATAGCACGAGCCAAACCAAAGTGGGCTTAAACTCAGGATTCCTTTTCCATTAGATGAGAAAAGAAGGCGGCATTTTATCGGATCTGCTTTAATATTGTGCCTCTTCAACCGCCTTAAAAGCCACTTAACGTGTACAAAGATATTTTTTCAAAAAAAAGCGAACCTTACAACACTCCAAAATATGCAGATATGAATGTATATTTTGACGTATTTGTCAAATATTAAAACAATATAGAAAGCAGAACTTTCCCAATTTTAATGCGAGCTTTTATATTGAGACGTAACGATATTTGACGGAGAATATTCCACTGATATCGGTTCTCGGGATTATTGTGGAAAAGAAAAACTGAACGAAACATCACAGGAAAATTATAGCATATACGTAAAATGAATTCATACTAAAGTCGCTTTGGTGGTAAAAAGTCAAATGTCGATATTCATCGGTGAATTATAAAGTCCTTCCTTAATTTCCTTTGGTTTTCATCCATAAAAATTTCCTTTTTTATCCGATAGGTATTCCAAAATTCTGTCTTCTCCAACACCGACATTACTTTTTGTCTTGGATAATTTATACTCACGAATCTATCGAGTAATATTCAGCTCAGTCCAGACAGTCGGATTTCAGTTTTGTGATCGTTGTTGAAATTTAATGGTCTGACCTCCACTTGAGTCGAATTATTAACAAAACAAGCGCTACCTCGCTGCCATAGAAAAGATTCGTTAAAGTATGGTTTGAAAAATCTGTTCTCGCTCCCGCAGAAAAACGAATTAAAATTGTCCCCTAGAGATTTCGTTTGATTGGAAAGATGGGGCTTTTTGATGGGAATATCTTTTGACTTCCAAAAGCTTAATGCCAAACCATCTGAATTATTAAAGAATGGAAGGTTTTAACAGTGGGGAGTTTGTTTTACAAGTAACCCGAAATCTTTAGAAAATCATCGTACAGCGCAAATTTTCGCGAATTGTGAAAGGCCCAATTCATATGAAACACCATACGAAGGCTTGTGAAATCTTGTAATGCCTCAACTGAGTTAGTACATACAAAATCAGTTTTAGAAAGAAGGGATGCACAATTTTTTTTTCAGTAGATCCCTTATCACTAAACAAAACTTGAGATAAATAACATTTCCATTTCGCCATTTCCTGCCAACTTGCGTTGGATGTGAGGCTTTCCATGTTGCATGTTGAACGCTATTTTTAGCTGAGCGCATTTTGTGTCAAAGCTTCGTTGTTTCTGCACGAAATTTGTTGCTGCAGCTGTCGGTTCTCATAAATGTGCTAAAAATGTAAGACAGGCAAAATGGTTGAATAATGCCTTTTAAAACAATGGGAGGTTGATATGCTGGTTTCGAGTTATTCAAATTCGTGATTTTTAGTATCTTTTGATCACTTGCCAAAATTTGAGGAAACATTTTTTAGTTTCAGTTGTACGACGCTCGGTTAATGGTTTGCCCCTGAGTCATCTGCAACAATGACTAAGCAATCAGGAAGCTTTCTTGGGGACACGATCTTGGAGCGCTGATTAAAACGTTCTTGAGAAATTTCTCCATCGCTAAGGGCAACTGAGCAAGTTTTTTCACATCAGTTCACAAGGGTAAATTGTCATGTGATCTTTAGTTGGTTATCAGGTTGAAGAGGTTTCGAGTGCTTTCTAAATACAAACTCGAGAGCGCTATCCATTTAAATTTCAGCGATATTTTCCGCCACGTCGCCTGTCAGGTGAAAGCGTACCGTGTCCAAAACACGATCAAACGTGCAGTGCAATATAGGAACCGCAAGATTATTTTTCTTTCCTGAAAGAAAACTGCAACACGGAAGAAGAGTAAACATAGTTAGTTCCAAGCCTACCTGCGTAATTTATATGTGATGTGGTGATTGACTGTTCGTTGTTTGGGGCAGGTTCGTTTCCAAGGTTTTCACCTCTAGATCTTCTTGATCGCCGGCCTGATCGTACAGCGCGCGTCGCGTTTGGTTGCGCGACTCCTTGCTGCTTGAGCCTTCTCTCTTTCGATCGTCGATTTTGAAACCAGACTTGAATGACTCGCATGTTTAAACCCGTCTCTTGCGCAAGTTTTTCGCGGATGTTCCGCGATGGTTTCGGAGTTGCGGCAAAGGTTGCTTTGAGTGCCTCTAGCTGCTTAGCTTTGATAGTTGTTCGCGGACCGCGGCGTTTGGTGCCTAGCGCCACATCTAGGTCTTCGTCTAAACCGTAACTTAAATCTTTCTCTTCGGAATCCGAGTCTGTGGATGATACAACACAACGTACACATGCACACAAAAATTAGATCTATTAAGATTAAATAACCGTTTGTATATTAATAAACAAACCAATTCCCTTTGCACTCACCGGATTGCTTCGACTGGAAGTGTGATTGGTAGTAGTCCTCTTTACAAACGAATTTACTTTCTCCGACGTAATACAATTCATCACCGGTCAAAATTTGCCGGTTACAGCTGGAACAATTGAAACATTTCACGTGAAAGACCAAGTGTTTAGCTCTGCGGACCATGTCGTTCGGCGAGATCCCTAGACAACATCCAGCGCATTTTGTCCCGTAGCGCCTAAAGATTTGAAAGTAAGAACAGGGTAGTTAGACCGTTCAATTCACTATGATCGAATTAATCGTCTGGCTGCTTACCACAGAGCTCGCGAAAACTAAAGTTCAGCTGCCGGACGTGAAATTTCGACCGATTGTGAGCAACGTACCTGTAAAAATCATTCTTACAAAACAGCTTTCCTTCACGGGAAAAGCATTTATTTGTGAGTGCACATTTGCAGTCGTAGCAATGGACACACTGTACATGCCAGACACGATCCAGAACCTTCAAAAGGAATTTATCCGAGATGGGCAGTTCACATCCCGCGCACTGTTGAACCATGTTGCAGATCTGTGCCTTCATCAAGCCAAGAAGAGTCAGTCGCTGCTTTCGTTTCCTCTTCTTGTCCGGGTGTATGTACGTTTATGTAAAGTGCGGTGCTGTGTGCGTGAAATTTATGCAAGTAACTCTTCTACGTGCCCGGTGGGTGGTGCTTTGCACTGTACCAGCTGCTTAACGGGACGGTAAGAAGCGATGCAAGAGGGAGTATTGCGGATTTTCTAAAAACCGACGCTGAAGTTTATTCCGCGGTCAAAATTTGCATAAAGTTTGGCACACGGAATTGTAAAGTGGACGGATGAAAGCGCGCGGCATAGAACCACTTAGGCCGCCATGCTAGATGTCAATTAGCTTGTTGAAAGACAACACATTTACGCGCTCTCCTTTTGATATAATTTGACTCCGCCTGTCAAAAGGAATTGACAGTTCAAATTTGACAGCACTCTGACAAAAGCCAATGACATTGAGAGCCTTTGTGGGCGCGAGCCAAACTTTCAACACACCATTGTTTGACTAGGATTATGTAAACTCGAAAAAATCGCACAATTTGAACATCTTTTGTCTGGCTATTGTTCCCTTTGACTGCTATCATGAGCTCAAAAGCGCCTCCTAGTCTCCGAACGATTCAACCACGAACGTATCGTCGCTGAACTGAACAACCCGTGATCGGTGACATTGAAAAGGAAGTCGTGGCATCCTTGAAATACCGCAGTGCGCTTAAATATTGGATTTCAGATGTTTCCGACGGCCAAAACATTTTTTACGCCGAATTCGATCAGTATCACGGCTATCAGTAAAGCAGGCGGCTGTAAGACTCCGATCGAAACGGAAAAGCTTTTGTTGCCGAGATTTACTTTATCTCGTGATAAACCTTATGTTGTTGTCACTAAAACATGTCAAAACACTCCCATTTGCAAGTGTTTATTTACATACGGATTTTCAAAACAAAGGCCCTACAGTTAGCGCATGTTAATGAGAATTTTGTATTCTCCTGCACTTAGTGGCATGTTCGAGACAAACGTAGAACATAACGCCGCAATCACAGTGAAAAGCCGGTGCAAAGAAAATTCACTTTCTTGTGCCATCTGCCTCTAAGAGGCTCTCCAAGCGCGAAAATGGGCAACCACAGATTTTGATCATTCGAATTGGCTCCTTACTGTCGGACACAAACCCGCATAACACAGCGATTTACTAACGTGTCGGTTCAGATTTTGGCAAAAGGCATTCTCCGCAACAGTTTAATTTCCAAAAGTGAATTATTCAACAAAACCGACAGAAGTTTCTATTTTCGTCGATATTCTGATGACAAAACCTCGAATGTTAATGAAAATTTGTCTGAAGCTCTTCCTTCGCAAAAAGACGCGAAAAACGCTAAAATTATGTTAACAACCCCCATGTTAATCGTTTTAGTTTAAAGGATTTCTTAATCTGGGAAATAGATTTTGCCGATTCAGAATCTTAAATCGTTTTTTAGCGAGAAAACCTTCCTCTAATGATAAAGGCCTTACACTTCTTGGACGCATTTCAAACGAATACTTGTGTTTTTGTGTCAGTTTTTAAGCCGTGTTAAACCTCTCTCTGCCAGCTTTGGTTGAACATGCTAATTTGTCAAATCACCTGTTTCAGATCAACACCTGCTTCTACAACCGCGTTCAACAAAGAACGCGGGCGATGAACTTGTTCAAAGAACATAAGTTCCCCTCAAATTTAAGTTAGTAATTTATTTCTTTAGCTGCAAAGCAGATTGCCTTTGTCTGACCCCAATAAAGTATTCTTCAAAGTATTCGTGTAGAGACTTATCTCCGAGAAGATCCCGCGCTTCGGTGGAAGCGTTTCTTTGGCCGCGGGAAAGAACGAGGCTGCAATGCAAGACGGTGAGAGCTCTGCAAGGGGTCTGGCATTGGTAATGAGGCTGGGGCCTTCTCGCAGGTTATGTAGCGACTCATCGGATTAATGCCTCGATTAGTATTGTATACATTATTTCCAAGAAATTTATAGTCAAGAGGCTCAGTAAATTATTTCTTTAATTATTTAGCAAATTGCTTTTAATTAAAAGAGAACTTAAGGTAACGATTTGTGGAAGAAGTCAAATACCAAAAATATCTGAATGAACCTTGAGGAAATAAGTATGGAAAGGGATGAAGTACTTAAAACGGATTGGAGATGAATAGCTCGAAAGAGTCAGTTTTTATGACTCGCCAACTTTATTTTGCACACCTTGCGTGCCTATGTAAGTTTCTCACAGCCTTCACGGCATGTAAAGGCCAGACTGATTCAACATTGGAACATGAAGAACTTTCGCATGTTGATGTAAAAAGATTTTGTATTTCCTTCATTCCTAGTTAAGCTATTTTACAACAATAAAAATATGGAGAAGTGGAGAGAAAATTTGACAGATTATCCCTGAAAAGCTTTTTAAGAAATCGATTGCGTGCTGAAAAGCTTTACGCTTTACGTGACGAACCTGGCGCTTGTCAATGTACGGTCACAAATTTAGTTATGGTAAACCTCGTTCGCCCCGCATGAATTCTGGCGCCTACTGTCACCCTCGAAACGAAGTCACTTCCAGTCGTACAGCGTCATGTACGCGCCATTCACATTTGCCACTCACACGAGGATCTTTCAAGTCGAGAAAGGCGAATGCCACTGCCCCCTCCCCCCTTCTCTACCCCGGCTTGCTCTGAGGTGTCCACAGAGTCAACGCAAACATCAAACAACCTTTTCTTCGGTGTTTTCTAACTTTTGCTGTTCTCTGAGCAATTAAAAACTGCATGCAATTCTACAATTTTCATTTTCCTTTATGGCCGGGCAATGCCGGGTCGTGTAAACTGACTTAATCTAACTTCCAACTCACCCTTAGTTTCCCACATCCATTGAAGAGAAGAACTGCTCTGCTGAAAGTTAAGTTGTTCAAATTCCTTCAGTTCGCTTTTGATTTAAGAGTAGTAATGTCAATACACCGTTACACTTTTTCAATCTGCTCCGAAACCAAATAATCAACAACCGAAGATCATTATTTTTGTTTGTTTTGACTGTTTTGTTTTGCCTTTTTTATCGTTATGTCGCTATTTCTCAAAAAAAAAAATGGGAGTCAGCCATGGCCGGGACTTCATGCCAGATTTCCACATGTTTGGCCTCAGCATTTTTTCTCCTGTGCGGACCCATTTGTGATGCGATTTTCGGATCAATGTCCGTCAGCAACTGCGCACATACCCCTCCCATAGCTCATCAACGGTCATTTTAATCTAAGATAGGTTTACCACTACGGTTGGTCTAGGGGAGGGGTAGGCGCGCAGTTGGTCAGATATTAACATAGATCCAGATTTTCATGCTTTCCTCTCTACAACTAAGCAATGGGTTCACTATCAGGGCGAGGTTTTATCGAGTCGTTTTCGATTGGATTCACGTTAATTTTGTGCAGGGCAGTTACTGCTCAAACACTTTTGGTCTTGAAATCATTTCAACCCACGTCGATTTCGAGCATCATTTAAAACGAGTTTGCGTTGAAGGTGACCTTTTGCACGCTCGATGACAAAGGAGCAAGCCACGATGGCGCTGACATTCAAGATTATCTGAACCCATAACCACCTTATCAAGAGCTTCAACCTGAGATTTTATTACAATCGTTTTTTGATTGCGATAAAATATGGCGGTTCCGGAATTCATTAGTCTGAGGGCGATAAAGATCCAGTCGGCAGACATTCCATTAGACGGCGATGATTGACGAGATAAAGCTTTGCTTTGAACTTGGAGTAATAACACTTGACATGATTAGAAGGAATGCGATGTTAAAATGCACTTAAGATCAGTTTTATAAGATGCTCTTGAAAATATTAAATGTTTCTCAACCATCTACGGATACAAGATTACTGGCGCGCGACTTAAAGCTGAGTCACGCGTTAAGTTCGGGTGGAAGGGAGGGATCATTCTGCAAAGCTTTGTACGGGGAGTCGTCGTCCATAGTCCCATACCTGCCAGCGGTTTTAAAAGGCTAGAGGTTAACGTAAAATAAAATATTTTTTGGCCAAGGTGGCCCATTCTGCCATTTACCCTTTACTGGTCATTTCCTTATAAATTTGAGCCCGTGGTTCCTTTATCAGTCTGGTCAGTTGTGAATGAGAGTCAAGACACTCATTCTTTCTGAGCTCTTCCTGGAAAGAAGAGACGCATTGGAAACTAGTTTTGATCCTGATCCCTTTCAGGACAACAGTCAAGCTGACTGAGCACTGTCCAAGAATGTTTTAAGTCTACAACACATCAAAAAGAGGCATTTACTTCATCAAAAAATTCTTGCAAAATCAAAAATCCGTTTATATAAGAAAGTCTCGGTTTTAGGAGCTACCTGTAAACAAAAGACAAGGTGCATTGCAGTAAAGATGTATCATGCCACATGTTCAGATGACAGAAATTCGTCGGTGTTTCCACAAGGACACTGAACTGTGACTGGTTCTCCCATTGGAAATCACCACGCCTATAGTAAGGTAGAAGATAGGTTTTTCAGGTTGACTTTGGGACGATGGTAGGAATAAGCCTCTGGTAGCGAAACATCACGCTCTGAATCAGCATTATGGCACAATTTTTAAGGACGGAGCCTTTTGTGGAGACAGTCAAAGAGTGGCTGAAGCCTCAAATATGTTTTTTTCTGCTCATTTCGCTCATACGGTGCCTAATCAGAAGACAAATACTGATTGCGACCTCAGACGTTTTCTCTTAAAATCTGCAGATTCTAGTCTGTGCCAAACTCTTGGTATTTGGAGGAGGTCTAGGAAGGAGTGTCGAGAGGGGCAAGGAGGCGAGTGTAACCTCCTTACAAGGGTCCTCTTTCTTAGTAAATCCCTCTCCTTATTCCCCTCTGTTTTTTTTTTCTCGCGCTCGCTCCCGGACTAAAACATCTACAGGTGTAAACAATCTTTAGAATGTCTCCATCAGCAATGTAGTGTATTCATGTTGGACTTATGACACAGTTTGGAATAAAGGCAGCTTCGGTAACTCAGATGGTTCAAAAGGAAAAATTTTCGCCGTCATTCAACCGGACCTGAGCAAACTGAAGTCAAAGAAACACTCTTGCACTGAGGAGAACGATACTTTGTATGTAGTCTTCACCACATTGACTCTTCACTGATTCGTAATGACTCAAAGAGGAGTTGTAGGTTTTAAGAATTGCTTTCCAAGAGTTATGTAATCGCTACCAAAAGGGGGCTGCAAATCGTCAGTAGTTGAATCTCTACGAGATAAAATGTTCTTAGTTTTGCAACTTTAACTACGGGACTGTGTCCAAAGAAGAAAATGCAAGTTCTGTCAGAAGCCCTACATCTCTATACTGTCGTATGGCACGCTCAGTTTAATATTGTAGTTGTACCCACTGGTGTCGTCATAATTTGAAGAGCAAATCTCCGGGATTCCCTCTGTGGCATTGCTCGCCGAGAAGTCAAACGTGCGAATGACTCCTCGATGACGTCGATGAAGAATCAAATCATCTGCATACCAAAGATTATCACGTGGTGTTCTATCCAATGGAATGTTCGCCGTGATCATCCGGGGACCTTGAAATTTACAGAGTCTCACAGGGTGTCGCGCATGAGTCGTCCATAAAGTTGACGTCATCCGCTGGTCCCAGACCACCAACGTTCCATCCTCTGCACCGCTGACCACTTTCCAATCGTCCATTTGCACCGCAGTTACAGCTCTTTTGTGTCCCAAGTGAAATGAAAGCGCCATCTTTTCACTGCGCAGGTCAAACACGCGTACCCTGCAATCGTAGCTGCCTGTCACGAGACGATGTGGAGGGCAATTGGCTAGATCAAGACAAGTGATCTCGCGATAGTGAGATCCCAATATGGAAATCATTTTTGAGGTTTCCAGACTATAAAGGCGCACCTAAAAATTACAGAAAAATAAATTAAAGTCGGTTTGCTGACAACATCGTGACAAAATACACACGCACAGAACCTTCTTTTATTTTTTTCAAAACAAAATTCTTCTTGATTGTGAAAGTCTGGCGGTCAGATGTTCAGGCTGAGATGGACCACAACTGGACCATGCAAAAAAAAGCTAGTTAAGAACTGGACAAAACAGAGAAGGAAAAGCTTTGATGGCCTATGCTCCTGGAAGAGCTGAGGGTATAACTAACTAACTAACTTATTCTGAGTTTCAGGTGACACTGTTACTAAACTTGAGGTACACAATAAAAAATAAAAACGATTTTTTTCTTTCACATATTTCACAGTCACTAGGAGGGAAATTTGATCATTCAAAAAGGCTGCACTCTCTGTTCTTCATGAGGTAGACCATCACCAAAGGTGTATGCCAAACTTACAAATTCATAAAACTGTAGCCGCAAACAATTGCTATCTTAAAATGGGAATTGTTAACAATTTTATACCCAAGCTAATTGTGTTGTTATGTCCAAGGTTTTGAACATTTTGAAGGATTTCAACTTATTGTTAGTTTTTTTAGCTCTTTTTCTCCTTTTTGGGCTTGTAATAAACAACTCTTTGATTTGGTTTTGCCTTAGTAATTACTATCCATGAACCACTTTGGTAGGCTTTGCCCATTTGCTTACAAGTAAGCTACATTGTGATTTTGATAAACCAACAAAATTACTCTGTTTCCGAGGGTTCCATATCCATACGAACCCACACCAATTGCAAGCTGATCTGGAGTACAGTCCATGCAAGTTAACTTTCCACCAATCACATGATCCATTGTTGATAGAAGACCTTTGCCAGGTGCCAGGATTGACACAGTATCTTGAGTTGCTATGGCAACATGTTCAGGTAATGAGTGTGAAGCAGAGTTTGGGATAAACATGGCGTGGCCAATCTGTGGAAGAAATTATAAAAGTCATCAGAGTTGAGTATCTCTCCATACAAGATGCTTTCATTACTGGAGAAAGTTTTAATAGTTTTGAGGTTGTTTTACCTTCTCATAATTCCTTGATTCTACACATGACCACCGTCCATTGACATCACTGGTATGTACCTTGAGTACATGATCTGACAGGGCTACAAATGCTAGTGGACCACTTATGGCCAATGAAACACCCTTAACAGATTCGTGACAGTGAAAATGGTACAGCGGTGAGGAACTCAAGTTATGGGACCATACACAAACATCACCTATGAGTTCAAAGTGTCAGTAATTTAGTACTGTGGGAAACAGTACCAGTATTTAATTCAGTTGTTTGATAGAAATTAGCTGAGTGTTGTATAGTTGCAAATCTTTCCTTGTCATGAAATATTATGCACTCATCAATTCCAAGGGGGCCCCCCTCTCCCCCCAACCTGGGCAACCCAAAGGCATTTGACTGTGATCCACACCCAGGGATGGAGAATTTGAACTTTGCCTATGTGGGGTAGGGAATTTGAACCTGAAATGACAAATCTTTCCAGCATAACACACATTTTATCTTTTACTATAGAGGTGATTAAAGGGAAAGAATTTGCTTTGGCTTCAAATTGATGGACACATTCGCTTTGAGTACAAGTCCTTTTGGGTGACATCAAAGGTAATACAGAAACAGATGAACAAAATTGCTCAGGGAGGAAGAGCTGTCCTTCATTCAACCTAATTACAAGTAATGAATGAGTGATAATGGCAATGAATGAATGAATGGTAATGAATGAGAACTGAAAAAATTATTACATGTAACTCAAAGATATTGACTCAATAAAACACAAAATTCTCTTAAGATGTGATACCATTGTCAAACCCAGCTACACACAACTTCTGGTTGATGGTAGTTGATGTGACATGCACTCTCTGTCTTTGTGAATTCACTGAATCAGATGAGATCAGTTCTCTGTAACTTGACACATTTTCAGCATCTCCTTCCCATACAACGACTGCACCACTTGAGTATCCTGAACAAATGAAATTTCCATGGACAGAAACAGCACAGAGACCTCCACCTGTGGGGATAAAAACCATCAAGGATGAGGATTGGTTGGTTAGAAATGATTCTGAATTACAGCATAATATCTGGTAAGCAGTTTTCTGGTGGACTAGGAAAATGCTTGCTTATGAAAAGTGTCTGCTTATGAAACTATAAAGATGCCAGGATCTTGTGTGAATGAGGCTGAAATATGATGTCCACCAGAAAGAACTGCCTGCATGTATGACATGTCCACTTGTGGAAGTTTTGTTGTGTAATTATAATTTTGAGTCCTGGTAATATCATCTGTTAATATACATGTGATTGTTGTGCATTGCTAGTCTAATAATAGAGACAGGGTTTGTGGAATGACCAAAACCAAAGACTGATGGTTAATTTTTTTACTAAATGGAATAAATTTTAGTTATAGGACAATTCCAGAGTGCACAGCCAATTCTCTTGATTTATGTTGACAGTATTGCATAACTAAAGAATGTAGCTACAATCAGCATCAAAATTAGTTGACATGTTATGTTTGAAGAGTTTTATTCATAGGTAGAATAACACACCTGTTTCTACCACACTCAAAATCATTAACAAGACCCCCTTCCCCATTAAATGTTGGCTAAAAGTTCATGGAATTATGATAGGACATTGTTTTGTGTCAAAGGGGGCCAAAGGGGTAACTTATCAAGGGCAAAAGAGAAAGACTGAAGTAAAAGGGGGTTGAAAAGATCAATGTGTCAACAGTTTTGTGGCTGATTGAAGGTCCAGGGGTGTAAGGTTAGTAGCCTGCAGTGTGAGAATATTTTTGCATTCATTTCTTCATAAAAAGTTTGGCCACCATCTTGGATTTTTTAAGACGAGGAAGGTTAAGGAGAGAAAAAAAATCTAATGGGGGGAGGGGTTTATTGGGCCAGGGAAAAGTGGGGGTGGGGGTGGGGGGAGAGAGAGGGGGTAGGTACAAGTTGAAATATTTTACCCCCATCTCCTATCCACACATTCCTGGCAAGAGAGAAATGTTGATGAGGAAGGGGGACAAGAAAGATGATTCCTTCACTCTGTCCACTTCAATGAAGAGGAAAAAGGGAGAAGAGAAGGGAAAATAAAACAATTTGTTCTTTTCTCATCCTTCTTGTCTTGTTCAAATTTGGACAAAAGGAATAAGGGGGAGGGGGAATGAAGAGGAAAAACATTTTCATCTATCCTTGTCCCACCCCTCTCCTCCCCTCCCCTCCCCTCTCCATCCACTTTGATCCCACCCAAATCAAACATTGAATCCTAGCACTAACTAACTCTCCCTAAAAGATGGGAGACAAGAAAAGGAGTTTTGCTCTTTCCAAGAAAGAAAGCTATTCATCAGCAAACCTCTCTCAAATTCCAAACTGGACAATCTGCATATTCTTTCCTTCCAGTTCCTTCTCAATTCTCTTTCCTCTAAAATGCTATCTCGTACAAAACTTTTCCAGTTTTCTCTGTCTATAGTGGAAGAGTGTCTCTTTTGAACATAACCTAGTTTACAACCTACATGGTACCATATCAGTTCATCCTCTGCCAGAATTTTCCAGGCCTTGCTAACCTGAGCGCAAGCACAAAGGTCTTTGATTCCCAAGTCAGTGAAAATCTGTACTCCCACTTCTTTGGGTAAGCTCAAATCAAAGAAAGGAATACTTGTAATTTCATCAATGTCTTCTATCAGTTGATCTAGTAGACTCTTCTTTCTTTTAACAAGTTTTTCAGAGAACAATTTTTGTTGTACTTTTGAGTCACTCGGTGTGTCATTGTTAACCTCTCCAGTTTGAGGTTGCGGTAAATTCAAAAGAACAATATCATCATTTACATTGACAGATGATTTTTCTTCTGTCGTCTTAGGAAATTTTACAGAGCACGATTTATCCGTGGAGCATCCTACAGGATGAAAATGACGTACTTCCTCTTTGAAATCAACAAACGCTCTCTCAATGTCGCCTTGTTTGAAATTTTGACATTTTTCCAGATTCCCCTTGTGAACTTGTATATCTTGTTTTGTTTTGCTGAGTTCTTGCATCCATTCGCGACGGAAACATTTCAACTCCTCATTATCTCCGGCTGAATACATTTGAAAATAAATTCCTGTTTTTCAAAATCTCTTCAAATTGTAATTTCCGGAGAAATTCTTTGTCGCTAAACATAAGAATTCGCAGGGCCCATATTGGTTTTCTAGAAAAACCGCTGATCGAAATTAGGAATTTGCGCATGCTCAGTACAATCGGCTTGGGTATTCTTCAAAAAATAATTCATAGATCAGGGCCGAGAAAAGGGAACGAAGAAAATGTCCCGTTCTCGGCCTTGCAAGAAGTTTTCTTCTCAACAAATTCCACTGCTATGTGCAGCATTGCTCCTCATTGGAACCTCAACTCTGTTCTTCGTGTTCGTGTAAGAATTGAAGGTTTCTGAGTTCGTGTTTCGAGTGCTTTTGCTGTGATCATGCCCACGCGAAGCGCCCAGCCTTGGAGGATTTCAGTTGATGACAAGTTTTATTTATTCCTTTTTAGCTGCCCCCATTTGGCAAATGAATATTCCATTGCTATCCCTGTCTACGATGGAATCCTTACTTTGATAGTTTTGGCCAGTTTCGCCAATGCTTCACTAAGAGACCCTGGCGTAATTCCCAGAGGTAAGTTTGCTGTAAATAGTGAATTTTTAACTTAACTTACAATCAGGGGTCTCTCCAGACGGCCACGGTAGAACGTTATAATTATTGTTTATTTACCCTTGGTTGTGAACGGCACCTTTTCATAGCGTTATTTATAATAAAGGTTGAAACTCAACTATAACCGATTTTAGAGTAAATTTCCGAAAGACGGGAAAAATAAACGCTCCCTGCAGCTGCTTTCTACAATGTATGTTATTTCCCGTTCCTTCGTTTTATAGACGGAGAAAGGCTTGACACAACTGTCTAGAAAAGCCTAACGTTATTTTAAATGATTAAGAAAAACAGCGGACGCAATTTCTTGGAAACCTCAATATTGAGACGAAAAAACACGTTAACGATACCGACAAGCGCAGCACACATACGCCATGGCCTTTTAAAGTTTTAACCATTTAATCTCGCTTAGTTATTTATTGCTAAATTCTCATGTTATTGTTAGAACAAACTCAATTAAGCAGGTCACACGAACAAGAAATGTGATACTTCGATGAATTCGAATTCCTCCCAAATAGACATCTGCTGCAAGGAAGTGAAATGTTATCCTGAATCATTTATAAAGACCACAATTTACTTTTATTTTGGAATAATGACATGTATCAACGGATCATGCTATATCTCTGGACTGAGACAGATATTGATACTTAAAACATTGTGTTATATTGTTTACAGATTTAGTGTCAGACATGATGTAATTGTTTTAACTACCAAAAAAAATACTTAAAAATAAATTAAAAACTCATGATAGTACTTTTTAAAGACATGTTTGGGCATGACTCATGCAGTCATCAGTTAATAATTTTGTATCCATTTACTTTGTGTATATTTTCAATATACCTGTCTGTTTATGGTTTTTTCTTCATGATTGTGTAATGAAAGTTTTTTTTTTTCCTCAACATGAAATTTATGGCATTGAAATTTGCTGCTCCTAGGTAATTAAGCAAACAATCTTTTGCTCTGATATGCAAGCGCTATTAAGTGAATATAGGTGTCTTTCTATAAGTGAGTGAATAGTTAAGTCATATAGACTTGTTTCAATAAAATCTGTGACCAAAAAGAAAGATAGTTGTAAGGTTTTTTATTTATTGATTGATTTATTTGCCACACTACAATAAAAATTTCTAAGGAAGCATGATAAGCTAAGATGTAACGTAAGGAAACCTATATGAAACCACAAGAGTTATATGATGTTACATTTCCTCTGAAAAGAACAAAAGTGTGCATTGATATGGAACATCAAACAAGATGTAGAGGTGTGAAGCCAGATTCAGATCAAGGGGAAAAGAATAAAAAAAGAAAGGAAGAAATAAATAATTCTTGATTGAGAATTTTGCTGTATATTATCAAAAGGATACTAGAATTGAAGTGTTTATAATTTTGCAAGTTAGGGTACTGAAATACTTGGGACCTTAAAAGGAAACAGAAAACTGTGTTATATTTTTCCTTGAGAGGTTAAGGGTAAAACTAATAAAATTTTTGTTGCAATAAATAATTAGGTTAACTACTGGTGTAGCATATCTGTAGCCTACATGCAATATTTGCTTTGCAGAAGAAACATCAACTTCTGAGCAAGAGGATGACTTCAGAGCTCCTCTATACAAGAATGTTGATATCAATGGCATTACAGTTCGCATGAAATGGTGTGATACCTGCAAGTTTTACAGACCACCACGATGTTCACATTGTAGCATTTGTAACAATTGTATTGAGGTAAGGGTTTATTATCATCAACATTACTACTACTATTATCTCTACCAGTCTATGCAACAAGCTTTCATGAAATTACTTGCTCAACTTCAAGTTTGAACTGTTAAAAGCACCACAGTTTTGTTGTAGCTAATACTGAAAGGAGGAAAGTGAAATCTAGTTGTGTATTGAGCAGAAATGTTTCAACAACATTACTGGTGGAGTTAGTCATTCTCCAAAAGTTGTTATATTAACTTCACTTTGGTTAACCTTTTACTTCCATGAGTGACCAAAACAGAATTTCTCTCCACAATATCAATACAATATCAAGCAGGCAAGTGATAAGAATAAAGCAAGATATCAATTAGAGGATTGTTAGTTGATCCAATAAATATCACAAGCACTGTATAGCATACAGTAAGAAGAATTACTAATGAGATCTTGAGAGTGGTAGGGTTAAAGAATAATTTCCAGTGACCTTGTTCCAGGTCTGGCAACAATTCCAGTGAAATACTTTATTGATTAGACATATTTTCCTTTTTCTCTTTGCAGAATTTTGATCATCATTGTCCTTGGGTAGATAACTGCATTGGCAGGAGAAATTATAGATATTTCTTTTTCTTTGTGTTTTCTCTGTCTGTTCACATTATATCTGTATTTGCCTTGTCTTTGATATTTATTCTTGAGAAAAAGGATGAATTGAGGGAAGCAGCAGTGGCGTATCCTTACCCTGATATTAAATTCTTACTGATATCTTTTACATCAACGGAGGCATGCACAGCACATTTACAGTGTATGTTTCGAACAAAATTTGGCTGCTCTTTATTCCTGTGGCTTTCTCTCAAGGACCAGGTACTTTCAATTGTAATTCTTTCTTTTTGACTGACATACAGACTTTTAATTGTCAAGTGTGAAACTTAAGACCTGGTCAGGTCAATATAACCAGGCATTAACTTTCATGTTTTAATCAGTCATCTTGGGGATTTGATTTGTCAATTAAATATAGGAAGATTGATCATTCCTGGGTATCAAATGAGAAAGACAAAAATGTTTTGTGTATTGATATACATGACTTGTATACTTAGCCAAGGAAATGCTTTAAAGTAAATGTTATCAACAATAAATGATACAGCACACAGTACTCTGGGAGAAAAAAGTAACAAAATGTCTATAAGTCTTATGGCCAGTGCAATGGCATAGGATGAGAGTGATGAGTTTTTTGAGAGTTGTTTTAATATTCTCTACATTTCACTTGAATGAGGAAGTTATTCACTTATTAGCAGTGTTTTAACCTTTTTTCTGTAATTGTATAAATCAGTTAAGTTAACCAATAATTACATAAAATCAACATTTTGCTGTGTTCAAGTCATCCCTATGTTTGTGGGTGTTGTGTATGTTTGCCACCTTAACTTCTGACACAGAATAGCTATTATGGTGGTGTGTGGACTGACGTCTATTCCAGTGATTGGATTAACTGTGTTCCACATTGGACTGGTGGCCATGGGACGCACAACTAATGAACAGGTGATAACTAAGGCAATTTAAAGAGTCTAATGATGTATTAACACGTATAAACAAGTAATGACATTTTACATTAATTTTTTCTTATTATTTCTAATGATTTATTGAGCATCAAATTTGAGGATTATTTCTGATTTCATCAATAGAGGCATGAACCATGTGATTTTCTTTAAATATCCTGAATCTACAATCACACTCAAAATTATGGGTTTTTGTCATCAGAATGGAAAGGTTTGAAGCATATATATTTTGGATAAAGTTCACAATTTTCTAAATATTTCAATGGAACCCCATTTGGAATTCATACTGTTGTTTTGTTTAAAAAGTTAAATTTAGATGCTGAAAGTATTTGAAAAAAGGTACAACCAACCCACTAGAAATGTTACAAAATTAGGTTTTAATCAAGGCCATTTCTTCCCTAGGAGCAGTAACATGGGCAAAGTCCAGATAACTTAGTAAATAGCAGTGGCTGTTTTTCAAACAAACTATTCATTTATAATTTATTTCATAAGAAATTGAAGTAACCTCCGATTGTCTACTACATCTTTTCCAAGGTGACGGGAAAGTTCCGCAGTGGTCATAATCCTTTTGATAAAGGCTGTAAGAACAACTGCTTGGTGACACTTTGTTCTTCTCAATATTCAAAGTAAGGAGTTTTGGGGTCAATTTTTCATAAGCATACTGATCTCCATACTGAGGAGCTTTTATATTTTCTTAAGTCAATGATGTGCAGTTAAATGATGTTTTGCCCTTTATCCTGAGATCTCATCAGTAATTTTGCCGTATTGTCTACTATACAATTCTTATGATGTTAAATCAGAGAATTTGGTATTGGATAGACTAGTAATATAGAAAACAGTATGGAGAATGTGCACATTGATGTTAGGGTGTAGAGGATAAATCAATAGCAGCTACTGGGTTAGAGTTAATTACTGGATTTCCAGGGAATTGGGAATGGTTCTCTATCTAATGGCTGGTTGCAAAAGGGTTGTAGCTAGTACATTGCTCAAATTATTATCAGAGGAAAATTCTGAGTCATCATTATTATTCTTTCTTCCTCTCTTGTTGGAATGAAAGGCCTCTTCCTTTCCCTCTCTCTCTCACTCTCCAGGCTGTTCTATCGTTTTCAGTTGTGGAAAGAAGTCAAAGCACGAAAAATTACACATATTTTAAAGATTTTCACAACCATTAACATTTTTAAAATTTTTGTTTGTGTAGATATATTGGTTATATGGAAAATGTAGCCAAGGAATCCACTAAGAACAAAAAGAGAATAGAGAAGAAAAAGGAGAAAGAAAAGGATGCAAACAAATCTGTTGATGTTGAGTTAACTGAAGTTAAAGTTGAGGTGACAAGTAATCACTCCAATCAAAAGTCACAGGTATACCACCACAGTGAACTGCACAGGCTACTTATTATTTGAATTCCTGCATTTTAGTTTTCACCACAGGTTAACCCTAAGACCATCAGAGTGACTAGCATCTAATTTTTCCTTACATTGTTACTACTGAATCAAATACTAAGGTCATCAGAATACAGGAAATGATCACCAGCTGAAGAAGCTTTCAATCGTTTTATTAAACAAATTCTCCTTTTCAGTACCATGAGAAATGTAAAGAGAACAGCATGGAAATTATGCATAGTGATGTTTGGGTGTAAAGGGGTAAGGTACTGTCAAGAATGTAGGTACATCTTATGCAGGGCTCTTGCTGGAGTCTGGGAAAAAATGCATGTACCCTTTGATGTATTAGAGCCTTACATGGAAAACAAACACACTTCAGAAAATCACCCCACTATTCATTACAGACTAGAGCTTATCTTATGTTAATATGCATGATTCTCCTAGAAACTTACAATGCAGTAGAAATGTAAACATGTCACATGAGTATTCTGTAGGATGATGCAGGATGTTAGGGATTGTGTGGTTTTGATTGAATTCTGCCACACACTCTGTTTAGAATCCCTTTAGTCATTGGAAGCAGGAAAATTTTCAATTAATCCTTTAACCCCTAGAAGTTACAAGCATCTAATTTCTTCCCACAGTACTGCTGCTATACTTGAACTGTAAGGTCATGAGAATAAACAAAATGAATTGCCAACGAAAGAAGCTCTCAATTCTCCTTGTTAATTTCATGGGATATCCATAGAAAACAGTACAGAGAATAAGCATACTGAAGTTTGGATGTAAAGGTTGAAAGGATTTTCTTGAATTTAAAACTAAATTCTCAGGAGAAGCCAACAAAGATATATGTGGATGTCTGAAAATTTCCTTTCATATTTTGGAGGTGAATGGGTTAAATCTAGTGTGACTTAAGTTGAGATTAAGCTCACTAAACACTAGGTTGATGTCATTTTATTATATTGAATTATGTTTTAGAACATTATGATTAATATTTTCAGGATGATAGCAGAGATGGTAGAGATAGAAATAGTCATCAGATGAGGTCTCAAGATGGCAGATCTTCTGTCCCAGTAACTACTGCTCCTCCACGAGTTTCAGCAACTTATGTGAAGTCAAGTGTAAATGGAAGAACAATAAGTGGCAGCCGTGAAGTCACAGTTTAATGTCATGTTTGTATGCTATACAAGATAATAACCTCTATTGCTACTGCAGTCCAAGGTGCTGAGTACAAACCTTGAATTTCATGGAAGCAGTTGATGGATGAATTTGCTGCTTTTCACCAGGATTAGCCAGTGCTCACCTGTAAATTTAACAAGGCATGTCTTTGGAAGCAAGTGGTACAATCAATGGGAAGAGAGGCAGAAATGTTGGATACACAAGATTTGCTGTGCATAAATTTACCCCTAATTAAGATTGTAATCGTAAGGACTGACTTTTTTTAAGGAAGTGAATTTGTCAGATCTAAGCAGGTTGCAAATGTGAGGGTAACTATGCTTCATATCTGCCTGCAGTGCTGAATTAATAGTTAACTCATATCTTTTCATGTCAAAGTACATGCAAAATATACTGCGTATTCAATCTACCTTAAAAGGACTGTAATGAAAGAATCAGTGATTGCTGCACATGGTTTCAAACACAAACAGTTGGGGTAAAAATTGTTGCTGTTAAAACAGTTGATGGCAGTAGTATACTGTAAATAATCTGAAAAAAGTGTTGTATATTATCTGATGCCTATAGTACTAATTAAAAGAAGTCGTTTGATTTTTAATTTTTGTGTTGCTATCCTGCTCATGTGAAATTCACGACTGTGCTATTACAATGATTGTTATAATAATAAGTTAAATATTTTTTAGTGCTTTTGTTAGTTATCATGATAATAATGATGAATTGGTGCTTTGTATAGTAAGTAATTACAGAGTTAGGTTTTTTAGAAATATTTCCATTTTGGCAGCTATCATTCAAACAAAGGATATAATATGTTCTTCGATTTGTAAACTGCATTAATTTGAAGAAGTTTTCATGGTGAGAGTTATAAATGGTAGTGAGTGCTGTTGTAAGAAAACAGTATATTTTTGTGCAATGTAATAAATTGCATGGGGAGGAAAATTATGTTAGCCATTGGAAAGCGGAAAAATATAGAGACAAGAGGTAAAATGTTGAATATTACTTTAAGGGATCTTTAGACTGGTTAGCATCTTTTGTACCATAAAGTGGGAAGAGGCGTTAATTAACAATAATTTAACGTAGTGTAGAAATGCATTAAATTTCTGTTAGATCATTAGTTACTCACACAGATCTATCAATACCATATGGTTCCTTTACTGTACAAGTAGCTTACTGTATTTATCTCAACTTGCATTTTATTTTCATTTTACTTCAGGAATAAATTACTCATATTTTGACAAATTGTCAAAATGTCATTTGATTGTAGACTCAGATAACAATTTCTCAAATCAACTGAAACTGCAGTTTCCAGTCTTGTGATTGGTAGAAGACATTTTGAAAAGCTCTCTGTGGCTGATCTGTTCGTTGTGTGCTTATTATTTTGTGGTTTCCATCGACCTTCAACATGGCTAAAAAATGAGTAGGGGATCCAGTCATTAATTTGCTTCTAGAGTTCATTGACACCCACCTTATAGGCATACTTGAAACAACAGATAAGCAATTGTTTGATATCCTTTTGCAGGCTTTGGCATAGTGGTCATCTGTAAAATATTTTAACTTCAGGTGTTAAGTATATAAACACATTTCAGAATGCCCCATTTGGTCAAAGAGAATATCAATGTAAATCAAATGCATTGGCAGGGTTTTAAAACAAACACAATTGTGCAATTATTTCAAGTTAGTCAAACATTTCCCCCCTAACTTCTAAAACTTCATACAGCTAAGCGATAGACATAGATAATGCAAGTGTTCTTTTTGTTCATCTTGCACAAATATTTTTGAAGCCTCCTTCACAGTTATTTTCCTGAAGAAGTCTAACATTTGCTATGATTCTGTGCTGAATCATGAAAATACAATATAATATTTAGTTATGGCAATTAATTGGTTTTTAATTATAATTCGCTCAACATTTATGTTAAAGATATAAAAAATAAATATCAAAGTCAATCACCTTTGTTTTTCTTTTCCTTTTACATGCTAAATTATGAGATTGGCCCATTAAGAGAATATGTAGGCTTTTAAGTAGCTCTTACTGGCTGGGTTATCCCTTTCGCTCCCAGATCTCACTAGGTATTCTCCTTACTGTCTGCCTTATTCCTATGACATTAGCTCGCAGAATTTGGTATTGGATTAAGTAATGATCCCTTAAGTAATATGTTTCTTCAGTGGCATCACTTGTCTGCCTGATACTGTGTTTATTGTTTGTTAGTCATTGGAGTCAAAGGGTTAAGTACAGTCATACCAGCTTGGAAACAGGACTAGTATGAACAAAAAACCAAGTATAAATGTTTTAATCAACTCCAACAGAACTTTCACTGCTACAGAAAAGAACTATTTGTCAATCCTCCTGCCAATCAAAGTCACTTAAAAATTTCAAAACACAAGTCCATGAGTTTCTTGAGCTAATTTCAGACATTAAGTCTTTGACTCTGCTGTCCTAAGGTCATCCTACTTCTTAAAAATTTACATATTTTAAGTAAAAGAAATCCTGTCAAATGCTGATATTTCTTGTATTGGTAACTCGCATTTAGAAAACTTTACCTCTAAGAAACACTTCATTTAAATAATTATTTATGTAACTAAATTTCATCCTCAGTAGTGTATGTAGGGTAGCGTGGCCGAGTGGTCTAAGGCGCTGGTTTTAGGCACCAGTCATTTCGATGGCGTGGGTTCGAATCCCACCGCTGCCAATAATTTTTCTTTTCTCCTTTTTTTTTTTGCTCTCTCTTTTGAATTCAGTCGGCTGATTAAGTTCGGTTCTCTTTTGACTTTTGACTTGTTTTTCAGACTACTAAATTTCTTAGGCGACTCTGACCTTCGTGTTTAATAGTACTAAAAAATTTCAACTATCTCCACTAAAAATTCTTTCGATTTTGAACGATTGACTATCCCAGTCGATCCGTCGACAATTCGTCAGGGTGCCAGGACCGAGTAGAGACTTTTTTTTTGCGTCTCTTTACTTGAAAAAGTAACCTTTTAAGACATTTTAAGTCCTTACATTATAAGACTCTCAACTTACATACCAGAGTTGACGAAGAAGAAAATTATGGCGGTCAAATTTTAGGGTGGTGGGGTAGGTGGGATAAAATGATAAGACAGGTGGGGGTGGGTGGAAGTAGTTTCGTGGAAGCCATACACATGTAAATAAAGGATGTCAAAATATGGCCCTTTCTGGTAAAACGACATTGACTCTAGGCTGATCACTTCACAAATATGACTCCTCATCCCCTCTTTCATCAACAGTCTCAACATTTTACTGGTAAAAGGTTCAATGATATTCTATCCATCACAAGTGATCAATTCTTGTTTTATACTAGTATTAATAATGTATTCTTGAATCAATTTTCCCACGAAATTCCACAAAAATTAATCACCACAAACAGTAGAACCTAAACATATTAATCTACTGATGGGATTCTTAAGAAAAAAAAAACAATTCAAAAGTTTAAATTTATTTATTAAATATCTGTTAATTCTATCATTTTCAAGAATACACTGTTTTTCAAAGTAACAATTTGTCCACTAAGACATTTCCTCATCATCTTCCTGTGTTTCCTCTACCACTGTCTCTTCATTAGGATCAGGAAGCTTTGTAGCAATCACATTCAAAAGTTCCTCAATCTCTTGATCAGTTTTCAAACGCTCTTCACTATCTTCAATGATCTAAACAAAGCATAGAGGCACTAATTACATATTCTATAAAACAGAAAATTATGGCTCCCTACAAAAAAAAAACAGCTATAAAAAAATTACAAAATTATGCAGTAAAGTAACCCTATGAAAAAGCCACAAGATATGAGAGAGAACCAAAAGGCTTGGCCACTAAACTCTATGCCAAAACTGATTTCTAAGCAATCAAATGCAGAAGTTACAAACCAAATCATAGCTAAATGATCACATTCCAATGAAACAAGACAGAACACTAAAAAACTTACCAGCTGAATTTCAACTGGTGTAGTAGGTCTAAGGTTCAACAGTTGAAGCTTCTCGGCTCTGTTTAAAATATAGTAAAATATATTTAACACATTAGCTCATAACTTGATGATGTTAGTACACATTGTGTTAATACATGAAGTAACAGCAGGAAACCTTGTTAAGTTGAATGGCTGCATTGCTTTGACAAATTCTTCTATTACTTCTGGACTCTACAAAAAATAAAATTTGCATTTCAGAAAAGTCAATTATGTTCAGGCTTACGTGACCTAAAACTAGTCCTGTAATTTACAATGTTTGTCATGGCTTCAAAACTCTAGCCTTCGGTATACCACCTTGAAACCATCTTTAATGCTAACGCTGCTTCTAAATTACATATATTAGTCCAGTCGATATTTATCCACCTAAGGGATTCTTGAGGAAACACAAATAATTCAAAAGTTTAAAATTTATTTATTACATATGCAAAGTCTAACCTGGTGTTTACAAGGAGTTTTCTCTAAATGCTTCCGAGCCTAAGAGTGAACAACACTGTATCTTAGGACAAAAGTTAGGATTTGGTATAATTTTGAATTAGAGGCAATCTTCAACAAACCTTGCTCAATCTTTTATAACATTACTGACCTCATAGCAAATTGTTGACAAGTTAACAAGGTGTTTCTGCCTCTTCTTAGCCTTATCAACTTTGTTTTGGTTTTCTGTCTCAAGCAACAGTTGATAAACCTGAAGAAAACAGGAAATAATTAGAGTTAGAATCCCTAGACTATAGTTGCTGGTGTGCAATTAATGTAAATGCATCATTTTAAACACTTGCTTCCAGTGTGAGATGTTTGTTACAAAGAGACAAATTTGTTTGTTCATAAAATTTGTTTGTTTATTTGTTCATTTTTAACAGTCAGCTGTTTGATGTTGTTTTGGTCCCTGTGCTGCAGACTGAAGTAATGTTAACACAACAACTCTAAGTAAGCTTAAAAATATACTCATATATTTAATTTTTCCTAGGAAATTATTTGTTCCCCTACAAGAGCATTTTAGCAGTGTTCACTAGATGTTTGTTTACAAACTGACTTTAAATCAGAGAAGTGTAAATAATTTCATCACTTCAGAATTTCTTTTCTAAAATCATGATGAAGATCAAAGCTATGGAGAATTTTAAAATGAAGAGTCAACTTATGTGATAAACCCACAAGATTATGGAAGATAGGCCAGAAGATAATAAAAGATCAGCCCACAACATCATAGAAGATCAGCCAACATGATCATACCAATAGTGCCCTTGTCCAGTCTAATGCTTTTATGTGCAACAACTCATATCTCTTTTCACGGCGTACTTGGGGAGATGGTTGAGAGCAACGTGAATTTGAGTTTGAATTCTCAAGATATATGTAATATTGATAACAATTGACAAAATTAACGGCTAGATGACGCTACATCCTTTTTATCTCCCATACTAAGAAATAAGCTAAGGAAATTTCTACGACAACTTTACCTCGTAATTGCTCAACAAAGCCGCCTTGTCATTAAGACTGAAAAATTCAAAATTCAATTATTGAAGACTTCACATAATTTAGTTCCTGTATTTATAGTTAAACTGGTTGCTATTTTAAACTATTCAGAAGCCTGAATAATTGAATCAGATAAGAATGAAAGAGTTCTTCTTACACTTCCATCTCGACAGCTTTCAGAAATTGTCTAAAACAAGGTCACAAGGATTGAAATGTTTTGATGCCGCCATTTTGAACTCGTTTTATCAGGTGGTTACCAAGCTCACTCTTGTCTTTTCGCCCCAGACTCCAAGCGCTCAGTTAGAGCAGATGAATTTTACCCCGCAAGTTTCCCTGCAACGGATACTTTTAGTTTGCTTGTGATCTCCAGGTTTTATTGATCTATTTTCCTATTTTTGGTTTAATCAGTTCATTTATCCTCTATTTAAAATATTTTTTTTAATAATCAGGTTGTTTGCCCCATTTCATTCCACATGTGATCGTTTGCATTCATAGTCGGATACTTTTCCCGTACTAAGGTGTTTCTACACGATATCGAAGACTTGCATAAGTAACTTCAGGAGTGGGTAACAGTCTTCGTTTATGTTGAAACATGCATTGATGGGACCCTATCAGCTCAAATATTCCAAAAGAGTGGATATGAACCCGATTTTTTCTTCCAAAAACTACCTTAGACCTAGAGGGCACCTATTTAGTGGGAGTAGATTTTAAGATAAAGTAAGACAATTTGGTTTTATCGAGTAAATTAATTAGCCACCGTTAAAAGTCTCAAAACTTGATGAAGGGCTAACCCTCGAAAAGTTAACTTAAGAAATTCCTTCATTACGGTGGCCAATTTACATCATCAACGCAGTTAATAAAACCAACTTATTTTGAAGTACCCCCACCGACGCAGCACCACAGTTTCTTCAGAAACTTAATCCCTTCATCTGAGATAAAGCGCTATGAGGACCCTAGCCTGACTTAAGTAGACCCTTCAAGTGGTTTTACTAAAGATTCCTTATGACATGAAGTTATTCAGTTCACGGTATATTAAGTGATGGAAGGGCGGGCAAACGCAAGTAACCAAGTCACAGTTGGCTTTAATTTTGAATAATATTTGTTTGAAAGACTTGCACAAGTTTCCGCAACCGAAAGCAGAGCGTGGCGAGGCTAAATCAATAGAATCCCAGACTGTCAGTGATCAATTGAAAAGCATGAGTGTCGTAAAGTAACGGATCTCTGAGGGGACAAATCTTCGAAATGAACCAATTACATCGAAGACAATGAATCTCACTGCTCATACCATGTGCTTATGAATATTATTCAGGGCTGAAAAACTGGAGTTTACAGGCACGTTACTTTCAATTTTACATCCATAGTAAAACACAGCAAATAGTCAGTCTAGGTCTCTGTCCGTAGCTCGCGATATAATCAGGCCCTATATCACTTTTTTCCACAAACACCACCGTTTTATTTTAGAAAGATCATAAGTTTCATGAAAATTCAGTTTTTTCATGCTGGATGTTTTGCTTTTAGTTTTGATTTGCTTCTAGTTTTGATTTGCTTCATAATCAGTTGTCAATCTGCCTTACTCCATTGATGTTTCTTAAAGGAGACTCCCATATAATGTCGCTCATTGAGGGGCGCATTTCTGGTTTCTTTTCGGTACACTTAAGAATAGCCCATTGTAGATGCTGAGGGACCACCGTGAACAGCCGAGCATGGCAGTCTTTGGCGGATGATACCAGCGGAAACTTGTAGTACATTTCAAACAAGAGTAGCTAACTGAATACGTCGACCTGCCGATTAAAGAACAACACAAGCGTCAAGAAGAACGTATACGTAAACAATTATCATAATTTTTCTTTTGTCCCTGCATCTGATTTCATTATATGCTGCAGCTTGCCTCAATGGCTCCAGTGGGTGAAGAAAAAGCACTCTCCTAGTATCCAAGGGGAAAACGGAATGAATTCTGGAGTAATGCTCATGAACTTGACACGAATGCGGGGGTTTGACCAGACTAAAAAGATTCTAGAAGCATACCATGAGGACAAACTCAGCATAACACGGGGAGACCAAGATCAAAACAATTATGGACTGAAAGATTTTCAATTTGATGCTCACTTTCCCTGGTAATTATATTAGTACTAATGCGGTGTCTACCGTAATTCGGCACATCCACACGGAAAGTGTACACCATAGTTGAGGTAGAATTAACAACTGAGCTGTCCCTAAAACAGACGTAAGGGTATGTCACGCATTTTTCACGCCCTTTACACCATTTGTATCATGATCTGACAGTAACATCGACAAAAATGGAAACAGTACAAGGAGTTTTACCTTTGTGGATTCTACTTGAGAAGCGATGGGCGCCTCCAACGCTAGCAGATCATTAGATTCGCCTTGGTTCACTGTCATGTATTCCTGCCTTAAATTTGTAATTTCATAGTAACCCAGTTTAGCTATCCAGTGCTCATCTTCTCCCCAAAGCAACACATTAGCGCTGTCAACATCACCATGAATCATGGGAAGCGGCTTCTTGCGATGAAGGTACTCTACGACTTTCGCAACATCAGAGGCAATGACGGTTATTTCGATGATAGTTAACGATCGTCGCGACAAAACAGATCGTTAAGGCGTGTCCGGAAATTCACTAAGTAGCAGAGGAATACCTTGGTCGTTTGTGGCACCAATAAAATGCACAAGGTTTGGATGGCAACACTTAGATGCTTTCAGCATTTATTGTTCATACAGGTGTCTAATGCTAGGAGAGAGAACCAGCTCATCTATGTGTTTGACGGCTACTCGGACACCGCGAAAAGTCCCCTGCAAAATATCTGAGTTCCCACTTCCTGCAATATTTCCGATTAAAACAATTTTTTCTCGTTGAATAACCCAGTCACCTGACTGAGGAAGCCGATATTCGGTCAAAGTTGTCGAAGCGAAAGACATGGCTAGTTGCTCTCTCCCCGAGATCGTAACATGAAGTCCTTTTTTTTTCCTTCTCACGTTTACTTCTTCCACTTGCGTTATTATTAGAATTCATCGGAAATCCACTTTCTTCACTTCTTCTTTCCTCTATGCAAGTTATTTCTGCTTGTATTTTCGGTTGCTTTTGAAGCTCGAAACAAGTATGTCTTTCCTGTGTTAATTCGTCTACCATTGAAAGCTTCGCGCGGTGTTCTTCGTCTGGTGTTTCCTGTGGTTCAGCAGCAAGGGCTTACCTTTCTTTTTTGCTCTTCTAAGTTGTGCTAATAACGTTCACTCTTCAGCGATGAACATTCCTGCTCAAGATCATAAAGTTTTTTTTTTTGGTTTGGTAGATGTATTTAGTACTTGTTTTAATTCTTCTTCCACTTCACTTCGCCTTTTCTTCTCTTCTCCAACATTTTGAGAAGATGTACGGTGGCTCCATTTTCCCTCAACACCTTCTCCTTTAACTTGCCCGAGTAATTTCCGCTCTCAACGCTGATGAGATTCGTTCTGTCGAGATCTTGGCTTATTTCTTCCATAGCGAAACAAGCAGTACTTCCTCGACTTAATTCAGTTCGCACCTCTATTCCTGCTTCTTACCCAACTTCTAAATTCTTTTTCGACTTCAATGGCTGTCTTGTCGTTTGATTCATTTTTTCGCGAGTGACAGGAAAATACTTTTTTTCCGATCATTTGACGCATCCGTGCAAGTTTGCTTTCCATTCTACCTTCCAACTCCATGTTAGAGCCACTCAATTCTTTATTACGGTCGCCCTCAAAATCTTTGGACTTGAGCACCGTCGTTGGTATTTTTTGTACTGAAGAATTAACTGGTGGTGATGGAAGGTTCGCGGCGCAGGCGCAACTGCAGTGTCTTTCTTTTGTTATGTTAACTCGTAGATCCTTATGATGATCTTGCAAACTAATACTTGGATCACACTCTTCCTCCTGTTCCATAATAGTTGTCTCGTTGATATGACGCGTGAGACTTGATGCTTTATTCTTGAATCTCTTGGCCGTCTGCTTGGCCGTCTGATCACTGATCACTTTGTCTTCGCTTTGTAGCTCTTCCATGATTGTTTCTTTGTTTCTTTGTTGCGTTGTCGTTGGGCACAACCACGATTCATCGACGATTTGAAGAAGATGTGTGTTTGGTCCTCTTTCCATTCTTTTCTCAAGTACGTTATGAGAGGTTACCGTTTGATTTGGATTCTCCCCCGTCCAGGCCTCTTGCTGTTTCTGTTCGTCTGAAATCACAACAACATAGCATCAGAATAAGTGAGATGATAAAATTTTGAGCTCAGTCTTAGAGAAAGATATTATTCGTTTAGTCCCGATCATGGGACGTAGAAGAGATTGAAATTACTAAGAGAGGATTCTTACCGTAAACAGCGCTGCGACATTTGGCAACGAGGTCATTACACTGCTTTTCCCAGTTGTACTCTTTGCTGTAACAGGTACGCAGATAGTCACTTTCTTGACGCCGCGTTTTCCAGTCCTTCCTGCAAACTTGTTTTATGGCTTTGGCCCACACATTGGGTTGTTGGGAATCGATTACATAGAATGAACCGAATGCAATCTTGCTGAGGGCCTCTCCAAATCCCGTGTTCCCACTCACAAGTACAGGCAGGCCAGCAGATAGAGCTTCAAGTGCTGTGAGTCCAAAGCCGTCCGTCCGAGAAGGCATGAGTGCAAGATCCACCTCACAAAATAGCCTGATTAGATCATGTTTATTCTCGAGGAAACTTCTTACATCCAGGTTTTCTGGAGAAATGTTGCACTCCAAAAATCTGTCAGTAACCTGTTGAAGGTCTTCCTTGCGAGCACCGGCGAAGATAAGTATCGTGTCACTTAGACCGGCTACCGCTTTAGCTGCGATATCAAATCCTTTCAGTTTGAAATCTTCCTCATCTCCACGGCCAAATGTTAAAACTCGACACTTTTTGCCATCTCTTGGTGAGTGATCTATGTCCGAGTATTCATTGAAAATTCCCGGAGTAAGAGTTACAACATCTTCAGGATTTTTACACCAGCAAAGATAACTTTGGAACGATTCACTTAGCTTTGGCCCAACCCCAACGACAAAGTCAGCATTTTCACATAGTTCAACTTCAATTTTATGCTTTGCTTCACTTCTCGCGATAGAATCCTGGTAGGCTTTCCACATGCCCAGTTCCTTTGGCGCTGTGTGAGTGACTTGTACCCACTTGCACTTGCGATTGTCTCTAATAATCTTTGCTGGTGCACCAAGGACAGCTCCATGGCCAATAACTACATCAATCTGGAGATCATTTGGTGGAAAGCAAAGCCAAACTTTTTCCTCCAACCCAACCTGCCTTTCGGCTTTAACAACTTTGATGTTGTGTGAGACGGCGTCTTTCTTTTCCTCTTCACTGCATTCAAGAAGGAAGACTGTAACCTCAACCAACGGATGTTTCGCTAACTGAATGGCAAGTACTCTGTTCAAGGTTGATATTCCTCCCTTCCTGGACCACCACTCAGATGACAAAAGCAAAACGTTTAGTTTCTTTGGAGGTGAACTTTGTTCTTGTTTACTCGCTTTCTGGGAGGTGGACAGCATGTCAGCACCACAACTGTACAGAAACCAAACGAGACAAAAATCTTAGACACTTACAGCTAATCTGGGTGACGGATGGGTGAAAGCTGAAGGAACTAATTATGCGTCGATCAATTCAAAGTTTTACATTCCTCCCACGGGCAATCCCCGCCTTTTTTTAAGAATGGTTTGTTCAAATTTCCGCCCCCGGGACAAAAAGTTAGTTCAAATTCTTTACCCAATTTTTTAGTTAAAGCCAAAATCACCGACGTGAATTTCTACACATTGACTGAGCATTAAAACCTAGACCTTGTAGACCTTTTCTTCTGAGCCATTCGCTCAGGAAAGTAAACCATTGACCTTAAACACCTCCGTATAAAAAGATATAACACTTGAATTCCGCCGAAGAGACTTGACACTTCCGGTCAGGTTAAGAATTTGCTCAAACTTACAGGTTCAAGGACAAGGTCCATAAAATTTATCAGTGAAGCCAATGAACTACAGCAAAATGTCACAATTTGAAGAGGTACTAGGCTCAGGGATAGCAGACCTTAGAGAATGGTGGAAACTTATCGAAATATGCAGTTTCAGTCACGTTGGAGTTTTTCGTAACTTATTTATCACCTTCACGTTTTCATTCTTCAGTGGTAACTTTTCAAATCGCTCTGAACTATTCGGGAAAAATGGCAAGGCAAAAATAATTTGCAACTAAGGGTGTCAACCGCCGTGACAGACGTAGGAATATTATCAGTGACTGGAGACCCATTCAATTTAAGAACAGGACTTCGACGGCGAAAAATATTCAGGTTTAAATAGGACTGAATGAAATGCATTATTAATCTGACGGTTGTTTCCTAACTTGTATATTAAAATTCTAGAAAGTTTCGTCTCTGGCTGTTGAATCGAAAGAGTTTATTTACTAAGAAACGGCATTTGAAATCTTCGTTTGCGACTCAGAAAACAACGATCTATTTACGTTGTGTTTGCTGACTTCTTCATTATTCACCCTAAATTGGCGTGTGGTTCCACACTGTCCTTACATGGCTCAATTACGTACCCCGGCATCCGAGTATCAAAACAGCAGAAAATTCTCGAAGATCATCAGTATTACTCATTAACCATCGCAATGGCGACATACTGACATCAATTTCATTTCGCAACTGCGAATGATCAGGGCTATGGGAAAAATTCTGTATTCTCGGCTAGAAACGGATAGATTGTTGGAAAAGATCCAATATGTGTCAGATTTCACATAGTTTGTTGAAACACGGAAAGCGCGCTGACAGATATAGGTTCAAAAATACAAAACGTGTCTCGCTCCAGGGGACAATGGTTGTTGCGTACCGACCAGTTTCATTCTGTTCTGTACACGTACACCTGTCGGGCTCAACTTGTCTTAAATGCAAAAGTAGTATTGTTGTTCACGGCAAACCTAACATTTGGCGGTTGCTGCCCTGAAATGTATGGAAATATATCCAGGGACTCAATAAAGATTACCTCAATATCTTGCTAGTCGCGAGACGGGAATCGGTTGTAGCTTTTCCACAACTACCCACATCAGAACGAGAGAATCCTTGTCACTGTGACTGGATAGGGGAGAAATTGCGAAAAAAAAGCAACAACCAAAAAAAAAAGAAAAAACCGCCAATTACAACCAGCTTCAAAATTCTGCCTACACTTGTCTGAGTGGAAAGTGTACTTTAACAACGCAATAAAAATAGTGCAAGGCGAAAGTTGTTTGCGAAAGTTGTTTACGTAAGTTTAAAGATCTGAAGATACCTTCCTTACCCAGTTTCAGTTTCCCAGCTTCAGCTTTTCATTTCTACTGGGCAGTCTAGTCTGCTTTCGGGGAATAAAAGAAAATAAACTTAAGACGCTAACACTGATCAGGTTTTTCTTGTCGCTACAACGCCACTGTTATTTGCCCTCTTCGTCCCTGACGTCCAAAGTTCCCTGCGGCCGAGGGAAATCTGGGAGAGAGAACCGCACTTCGTGTCCAGTGTTCACACGTCCAACCCTTTTTTTTAGAGACAATATCAGTCGCATATCAGTGAAAATATATATTTATGATACATAATCGACACGGGCAGAGGCGCCTTTTTGAAAAAAAGGCCTCTGAAGGTTAACCGCTGGATGATACATGAACATACTGAGCCGGTTATTAAACAAATTTTAGCCGTTGTTTAATAAAGCCGCGTTCTAAACTATCTTGAATTTAGCCAAAATTAGCCTATCTGAACATTTACTTTGGTACACAGTGTCAAGAGCGTCGAAAGCTAACCGTGGAAGAACATTTATTTGATAAAAACAACCCTCTTGTAGAGAATCCGTAATGCCCTCTACTTGCGTAAAACCGCAGGTTAGACCTTGTGTAAATAATCGGCCCAACATCTTTAAGTTAACGTTCGCCTCGTACAGGCGAATTTAGTATCACATGGGTGTATGTGCTCCCTAAGATCAATTACAATCAAAATCAACACTGAGGAGATAATAGTTTACGTTTTACGGTTCACTTTATCATTGTAAGGAAGATATTTCGTCAATATAAACTGAACAAGCGATGTATATGCATTTCGTGCATAACACTTCATTTCATTTTCTTTATAATTTTCATAGCTTTAAAAAATTGCTTAGGATATATGAAACAATGTTGTAACGCTTATTTGTTCGTGTATAGTTTACTTCACTGCACCATAACACTAATATTTATGGATATCCAACTCTTTCTGTGTGTGGTACATCTTGTCACAACTCGTACAAACAAACACGTTCATAGGCGTGTACCGTGTTGAGGTAGGGCTCGTGCGTCCAATTTCACGCCCAACCCTCCCCTCACGGGCTGTTACGTCCAGGGTAGGAGCAGGAGAATGTTCCCATTCGTGTCTCTGTGTGTGTCCTTCCGTTGGTCTTCCCAAAATGCCTGTTGCATGTTTCCCACTAGCATTAAGTTTCGCACTCAATGTAGCACTTTGTTTAGTCTCGGCAAATCTTAAGGTTCTTGCCCTTGTACTTATCTTAACGGGCTGGGCTCTTGGTTTCTCAGGTGGGCGGGGCTGTATTTGGTTTGACATGTAGTGGTCTGCGTAAGACCGCTGTTCTTCTCTTATGGCAGAGGCAGGGCGCTTGTGGGAAACATTTGGGTTTTCGTCATAAAAACTCCGCGCAGGAGACCTGCAAATGAGAAAAGACATTCAAGGGAAAAAGGTGTATCAGTTACAACATGGGTTTACTCTAAAGATAACCTACATCTTTTTGAAAAAAAGAACGGCAAAGTGTGATGGTAAGAGCTGCTACTACAAAGTATCAAAAAGAAGAATTTAACATGGAAAGAAACAGTCAGTTTGTCACAATAATTCCAATCTTAATATTGTCGTGAACTTACTTTTGAGATCTGTAATAGTACTCAAAAAACAGCTAAAAAACTGAAAGACAAATAAAAAATCAACAGAACCTTTTAAGTAAATGTCTCTGTTCTTCCATTAATCCAGGTTGTGTTGTTTTCACAAGGGAACAGGTTCTTGTGCCTAAAAAATATATTACGAGGTTTTTACGGTTTAAATGAAAATTGAAAACATTGGTAGAGAACAAGAGTACGTGGCAAGTCTCTTGAATGTTAATGGGCCTATCCAGTAGGAACACGCGTCATAAATGAGGGACACAGCACTAAGGCATTTACAACAGCCTATCAGAACAAAGACGACTGTGCGATGAACCAATAGAAACGTAAGGAAAATTTACATGACCGATACAAAGCGCGGGAAAACAAGACGCATGTGACCAAGAAACGAGTGGATTGATTTGTAAAGGCCGGGATGATTTAGTTGAGTAAGTTGACGGGAGTTTTAAACAATCACAGAGAATATTCAAGGAAAACCCAAAAAGGAAGAATTTCTTGATTTCCCACTTTTCCAACGAACAAATATTCCATCAGTTTTGATCGTCAAGTTGCGACAACAGCTGCCAAGAAAAGATAAGTGACAAAACATGTGTAACCACAAGGGGAAGGTGAGGTTATTTTCGGATATGATAAATTAATCGGTTGCGACATTCTCCATAAGTCATTTCAACAAAGCCATTCGCTCTGTCGGAAACATTGAGAGAGAAGGAGGGCTAACGCTCAAAACACCAGCTTTAGAAACTATTTATGGTGGCCAATTTACATTATCAACTCTGTTGACATGACAAAATTGTCTCATTTACACGAAATTCAAGAAAAATCTTTGGGAGTTTGCGTTGAGGGAGATGGAGACTGTTTAATATTGTCTTTCACTTACTTTCTTCTGACGAGGAAGATTTCTGCTGTTTGGCATCAATGGAAGGAAATTTTACCACGGGTTGAAGTTTTCCTTCACTTTCTCTAAGCTGCTGTTCAAAGTCGTTCGTCTTTGCCTCAAATTGTTTCACTTCTCGCCGAAGTGTTTCCTTTTCAGGTCTAAGTTCTTCCAGAAGGTTCTATGTAGAAACAGAAAGAAAGTACTAAGTGTTGTGTTCCAAGTTTTCAGATTTTAACCAAGACCAACAGTTTAGTGTAGAAAGAGGTGCATTGTTGATCGATTTTGTAGATAACCACGAATAGAAAACTCTCCCTTTCTTTATTTCACGTTTTGCCTATGGCCACACCCTGAGGCCTATGAAAAGTTTCTGCTTCAGAGAACTGGCTATTTACGGAGAATTAACCTTAACACCCAGCACAAAGTGACAAAACAATTTTAACTAAAACCACTAACACAAAAGACAAAATACCACAAATTACCTGCTTGGAATCAAGTTGTTCAAAGAGCTTTGTCTTTTCAGTTTGCAAATCTTTAATAATTCCCTGCAATTTATCTTTCTCTCCTTCTGCCTCTAGCACTCTGTCCCGCAGCTCCTCACATTCATTGCTCAGATCATCAACTCTTTTAAGAAGTGCATCATGTTTGCTTTGTAAAACCTGAGGAAGCAAATAAAATTAATATTTTCACATAAGAATCACTAACGTAGCTGGCTGCTACAGCCCTATCCCTGTTTCTACATCATCAGAGTGCAGTTTTGTTACTGCTTCTAAATTACAGGTCATCCTTTCAGTAATCATGGTTTCCTGACCTTTTGCTGGTATTCCTTTACTCTTCTCAGTGGAGAGGGCATAGTGAAGTGCCAAGCCCATGAAACCACCGTATTGCACATAAATGAATAAAGGGGGTAAGTTTCTAAAGAAACTGTGGTGCTGCGTCGGTGGGAGAGTATGGCAGGTAATTTAGTGTTGACAACTGAGTTGAAAACGTAAATTGGCCACCGTAAAGGGTAAAGGCGTCTATCGCTCTGACGAATGGCTAACGCTCGAAACGTCAGCTTTTTTACCCTTTACGATGGCCAATTTACGTTTTCAACTCAGTTGTTAACACTAAATTACCTGCTATTGCACATAAAACCAACATAGGATAAAAACCAGGAACTGTAAATATAGAGCTCTGAACGTAAAAAACTGAGCCAGCACTTCTCCAGTAGAGCAGTTTAAGCCATGGCCTCTGTTGTACTCTGTGGCACACATCCAACCAAGGACTAAGCAAGAATAAAAACATATGGGATCTTGTCTTCATCTAACAGCCTTAATTTCTAATAGCATTCTTGCACAAAATCCAAGCTATAGGTTAAAGAGTTACACTTTCTAGTTTTTGGGGTTAATCTCATCACCTCCACTAACAACAGAAACTTGCATATTTAACCTGTTTGTGTTTCTCCAAGGTCTTATTCCTGACCTGTGTTTTTTCCAATTCAATAGAAGTGTTTTTAAGTTTGACTTGTAAATCATTCATTTTTTCCTTCGGCTGTTGTTCTTCAGACTTTACCATACTCCTCTGGTTAATCCTGCTCAGACATAGTATGACATCCTTCATCGACGGGCGTTCGTCGGGGTTGTGTGAAACACACCGCTGAATAAGTCTTCGAATTGCATTGCTTGATACCTTAAGAATCTGGTCATGGCGCTTTTCGACAAATGGAAGTTCATGAACGCACATCTCCAACAGCAGGACACCAAAACTGTACACGTCAACCTGGTCAGAGATGAGCGATAGCGTCAGTGTCTCTTTACATTTAACGATCTCTGTTAATATTTTACATGTCTTACTGGCCAATCAAAATTAAGGGAAATTTATATCCTCAAGAACCCATACTCTTTTCTTGTCCCAAGTAACCGGCCGATTACGTGGGACAAGATAAGAGTATGGTCTAGAGTTGTAGGATCTCCGAGATGATTTCAGTAATGCTCTTTAAGTACAATATAGACACTTAAGATGTGTAAGTTGCTTTGGTGTTCGTTTTGATAACTTTCAGTAAGTCATTGGGTATTTCGTCGGACGAAGTCGATGTTTTTGCATAATAATTCTCTACGACAACAAAAAGGAAACTAGCGAACCTGAGGCTATTACGTATAACTTTTTGTAATGTTTACTATTCCACTGAGAGTGAAAGGATTTTAAGCAAAGGTTCAGTCAATCCGCAATGTCTTATGTCGAAAGCAGTAACGTCAAACAACAACAAACGTTGTTGCATCAAGAGTCTTCTACATGATTCTTCCTTAGGCTCTTTCTTCGCGATTTCTTGCGTTCAACTGATGAGCAAAACGAGGAGGAAGCGATTTTACCTTTGTTGTCCATTGGTTAGAGAAAGTCTCTGGTGCTGAATAAATCATTGATCCCCGTGCCTCTGTCGTACGACTGCGCATTAAAGTTGCCGTTCCAAAACCACCCAGCTTAGCTCTCCAGCTTTCATCTCTCCTCCAGAGCAAGACGTTGACGCTGCTGACATCTCGATGTAAGATGGGAAAAGGCTTCTCAAGATGAAGGTAGTTTAAGCCTTTAGCAACATCCAAAGCAATGGTGGCTGTATCTTTTAGAAGTACTGGTCGTTTCTCTAAAACCCCTCTTAACGAAGTATCGAGTAATTCAGAGACAAATAAAGGAGTGTCATCGTCAAATGTAGCGCCAATAAACTGCAAAAGGTTCGGATGGTGACAGGTAGATAGAATCCTCATTTCTCGTGCAAACAAAGCACGATTGTGATCCGATAAAATCATTTCGTGTAATTGCTTAACGGCAACCTGGCAACCGCGAAACGTTCCTATTCGAACAGTGCCCCAGCCTCCTGTACCTAAAATCTCCTCACTCAGGACAATTTCCTCTCGCTGAATTATCCAGTAGTCTACTTGAAAGTTCCTTTCTCTTGACACAGAGACGTATCTTTCGGTTTCAATTTGTTGAAAGGTGAGACGCACTTGCCCAAACTCATCAATTGTTTCTTCCATCTCGGTACAGAGAGTTTTTGTTCGGCTTAATTCCTCTTCCACTCTTGCTCCCGGCTGTTGCTCCTCTTCTAAACTTTTCTTCAATTCGTTTTTTTGAAGCATCTTGGGAAATTCATTTTCCAGTCTCTCTGATCTTCCTTCCAGTTTGTTAAGAAAACATTCTTCATCAACCATGACACTTGAGTTTTTAAACTGATGTTTTGAGTCACCTGGGAGAGACTCCAGCTCTGTCGTCAGTGTCTGTTGTCCTGCAGAATCAGCTGATTGCATTCTTTTAAGGTTCACGTTTCTCTTGATGTTTCCTTTTTCTTTAGCTTGTTCAAACTTCGGTCCATCCTCCAATCTACGTTCCAGAACAGATTCTTCTAACTGAAGTGAATGTTCTTCCCTGGTAATTAGCTCCTGGACGTGAAGGTTGTGTTCGTGAGTCACATATGGTGGGGGCTGTCCATCTCTAGATCTTTCTCGCAGTCCGGCCTGATCAGTTAAATCTAGCTTTTTAGCTCTCGCGAATTCCTCTTCCCGCACTTGCTTCTGAGAATCTGCTTCGTCTTCCATTTGCTGTTTTGTTGTGTGGCATAAGGCTGCTTGATCAATGTTTCTTTGCCAAAAGGTGCTAGGTTCACTTTCCATTCTCTCTTGCATGGGACCGTGGCAGATTCCCCTTTGGTTTGAATACACATCTGCGCCAGTCGTTTCTTGTTCCTGCTTATCTGAGAAAATGTAATAAAAAAATATGCGAACTTATTGTGAAGCTCAAAGTATTGCCGGGTGAATTGTTATGATTTCTTTTGTCTATGGATTAATCTTTGTCACGACGAGTTAAAGTCGATATTTCCCCATAAGCGTGCTCTAGTGATCGGTTCTTTAACAACTGAACTCAATAGATGTACTGACATCCGCCCGTTTTATACAAACCATATTTGAATCCGAGGAGACAAATGGCCCCTGGAGTTGAGTAAGAAAGGTCTCTACACTTAGATAATTTCTTTATGATGTGGGGGAAATCACTTGCGAAGTGAATGGCTCAACTGGGCGGCCATGTAGTTTAATAGAACATCCGGTGAAAACTGTGAGCTGGAGCTAATTGGAAAAGAAGGAAAACTCGAATCTTAATGACAATTTTTTTTCCGCAGCCCCCAGCTCTTCCGACGTTCGGTAAAAGTTGTATGGGTGGTAGACAAGGCTGATTGCTACTCTTTGTTTTAGTAGGAAGTTTGTCTGCTTCTTAAGAGATCATGAGATGTAATCTCATACTTCTTACACTTACCAATGTCAATGGTGCGGAATTTTTTAACCAAGTCGTTACATTGTCCCTCCCATTTGTACTCTTGCCCATAAAAAGTACGCAGATTTTCAGTTTCTTGAAGTCGTGTTGCCCTGTCTTTCTTCCAGACTTGCTCTATGGCGCTGGCCCACACACTGGGATCCTCGGAGTCGATTACATAAAATGAACCGAATGGGATCTTGCTGAGTGCTTCTCCAAATCCTGTGTTACGACTCACAAGTACAGGCAGGCCAGCAGATAAAGCTTCGAGAGCTGTGAGTCCAAAGCCGTCAGATCGTGACGGCAGGAGGGCGAGATCCACTTCACAAAATAACTGGATGAACTCCTGTGTACTCTTAAGAAAACCTCTCACCTCCAGATTTTGTGGAGAAATACCGCACTCCAAAAACCTGTTAGCAACCTTCTGGAAGTTTTCATTGCATGCACCAGCGAAGATAAGTTTTGTGTTAGGTAACGAAGCTACAGCTTTAGCTGTGATATCAAATCCCTTCAGTGCGAAATCTTCCTCATCGTCACGGCCAAATACCAAAACTCGATACTTTTTCTCATCTTGGGGTGCATGTTGTATGTTCGAGTATTCGTTGAAAATCCCAGGAGTTAGATTGATAACATCATCAGGATCCTTTTTACACCAGCGAAGATAACAACGGAAAGCTTCGCTCAACTTTGGCCCAACTCCAACGACTAAATCAGCCATTTCGCCAAGTTCAACTTCAACTTTATGCTTCATCTCACTCTTAATAATGGGATTCCCATAAGTTTTGAACATGCCTAGTTCTTTTGGAATGGTATGAACAATTTGAACCCATCTGCATCGGCGTCTGTCTCTGATCATTTTGGCTGGTGGCCCGAGTTTTTCTCCGTGACCAATAACTACGTCAATCGGGAGATCATTGGGTGGAACGCAAAGCCAAACTTTTTTTTCCATCCCAGGCTGCTTTTCGGCTTTAACAACATTAATGTTATGTTTGAAAGCTTCTTTCTTTTCTTCTTCGCTGCATTCAGGAAGGAAGACTGTCACATCAACCAAAGGATGTTTAGCCAACTGAATGGCAAGTACTCTGTTCAAGGTTGATATTCCTCCCTTCCTGGACCACCATTCAGATGACAAAAGCAAAACGTTTAGTTTCTTAAAAGGCGAACTTTGTTCTTGTTCCCTCGCTTTCTGGAAGGTGGACAGCATTTCAGCACCATAGATGTACGTTAACCTAACAAGACAAACATCCTAGACACTTACAGCTGATCTGGATAACGAACGGGTGATGCACCTCTGAGGGCTACAGGACCTAATTATGCGTCGATCAGTTCGAAGTCTCAACATCCACCCGCCCCGGGCAATCCCAGAGTATTTGAACTTATGAAGAATGGTGTATTAAAAACGCGGGGGCCAAAAAGTGCCCTACTCAGTTTTTTTGTTAAAGCCAAAATCACCGCCGTGACTTTCTACACATCGGCTAAACTTTAAAACCTCCACCTTCAGTGTAGACCCTTTTCTTCTTAGCCATTCGCTCGGAAAAGTAAGCTATTTGCCTTACATCTTCGTGTTTAAAGATATAACACTTGTATTCCCTGACGAGACTTAACACTTCCGGTTTAAACTCCCCACATCAGCCAGGCAAGGTTCAAATTCCCCAGGTATGGACGACGGTTAAATGTACGTGGGCTTCCCGGAGATAGAGAGGGATGTTGAAACTTCGAATTGATGCGCCCATTAGTTGGTCATTGAACTGAAAATAAAGTGAACAAAATAACAAATTGTGTGTATGCGTTTGTAAAAAATGTTTAGATAATAATACTGATGATAGTAAAAATCGTAAAATTTAGCATCGACAAAAATAATAACAATACTTACAATGATAAAATTGATGAAGACTTGGTCGACTAGGAGGACAGGAATTTATAGGGCACCTATATGGAGGGCAGAATCATGAAAAGAAGACAAGATGATGAAAGAACATTGTAGTAAACGTTAAATCGAGGCCTCTCAGTTTAATGATTATCCTTAATTCTCTTCGCCAATTCGTCAATTTTCTTTACTTAGCAATTATGTTATAAGTTTTAACACGTTGACTTTTATCTAGATGCTGTTAGCGGCCCTCTTTCAGTAGTTCTAGTTTCAGCTTTACAGAACTAATATACAAGCTTTTGGTAAACTAAGTTTAAGTCACTCTTGGCTAATCACAGCTAATTTTCCGTGATCTCTGGCCTTATTCGATCAGTAAGCATTTCCTGCACGCATAGTTCAGTGCGACAACTTGTTGACAAGTGGCCTTTGGATCTTTAAAAGTCGAGGCGAACCTGGCGTTACAAACATCAAGTAAAGAATTTGCTCAAAACTTATAGGCTTAAAGACAAGGTCCTTGTAAATAAGCAGTCAAACCAATGAACTATGGCCAAGTAAAATAATTTGAAGGGGTACAATGGTAGAAATAAACAGCTCAGAGATAGCAGGCCTTAGAGAATGGTGGAAACTTATCGAAATATGTGATTTCAGTCACGTTGGTGTTTTCGCAACTTATTTATCATTTAAACGTTTTTATTCTTCAGCTCTGAAGTATTCGGGAAAAAATAGCAAGGCAAAAATAATTTCCAACTAAGGATGTCAAGTTGGAATGTCATAGGTGACTGGAGACACTCAATTTAGGAACAGGACTTGACAGCGAAAAATGTTTAGGTTTAAATAGGACCGAATGAAATGCATCATTAATCTGTGGGTTGTTAATTTCCTAACTTGTATATCAAAATGTCAGAAAGTTCCGCCTCAGGGCGTTGAATCGAAAGAGTTAACCCGCTAAGAAACGGCCTTTCAAATCTTAATCTGCGACTCAGGAAACAACTGACGATCCATTTACGTTGTGTTTGCTGATTTCTCCATTAGTTACTGTCCTTATATGGCTCAGTATCCGAGTATCAAAACAGCAGAAAATTCTCGAACATCATTAGCATTATTCATTGACCTGCTGTTATCAATTTCACTTAGCAACTGCGAATAATCAAGGCTATGGAAAAAATTCCGCTTTCTCGGTTAGAAACTGTTAGTTTGTTGGAAAAGATCGAATATACATCAGATTTCAATGCACACAGTTTGTTGAAATACGGAAAGCGCGCTGACAGATATAGGTTCAAAAATACAAAACGTGTCTCACTACTAGGGACGATGGTTGTTGCATACTGATCAGTTTCATAGTGATCAATCTCAACTTCCCATAAATGCAAAAGTTGTACTGTTGTTCACGGTAAACCTAACATTTGGCAGTTGCTGCCCTGAAACATGTGGAAATATATCCTGGGACTCAGTGAAGATTAACACAATATCTTACTAGTCGCGAGACGGAAATCATTTGTAGCTTTCCCACTGCAAGCGAGAACAGGACGTGAGAAATTCCTTGTCGCTGTGACTGGATAAGGAAATATTGCAACTCATAAAAAACACCAATTACCGCCAGCTTCAAAATTCAATCTACACTTATCTGAGTGGACAGTGTACTTATAAAACGCATTTAAAATAGTGCAAGGCTGAAGTTGTTACCGAAAGTTAAAATAAGATACCTTCCTTTCCCAGTTCCAGTCTTCGAGCTTCAGCCACTCACTTCTACCGAGCAGTGTAGTCTGTTGCCAATTTCGCGGAATAAAACAAAATAATCTTAGGACCCTAACACGGATTAGCTTTTCTGGATGCTGCAACGTCATTGTTGTTGGCTCTCTTCTTCCCCTGCGAATTCCAAAGTACTCCACGGCCGAGGAAATCTGGGAGAGAGTCACTCTTAATAGTTCGTGTCCAGTGTTCACGCGTCCAACCCTTCTAAGAGCCAAATAGTTAAAATATCTTTTTACGCTACATTTTCGACACGAACAGAGGCGACTTTTCGAAAAGCGCCTCTGAAGGTTAACCGTTACCTAAAAAATGGGATAGGATAAAGTTGTCTTTCTGCCGATGCATGGTAACTTTAGGAAAACATAATATCTTTAAGTTATCATTCATCTCGTTCTGGCGTGTAGCATGGGCATATGTGCTCACCAAGAACTCAAACAAATTCAACACTGGGGTGATAATGGTTAACGTCTTACAATTCATTTTATTATTGTATGGAAAGCATTTCTTCAACATAAACTGAACAAGCGATGTATGTGCATTGAATGTATAATACTTCATTTCACAATGAATTTGTTTATGATTTTAATAGCTTCAAAAAACTTCTTGGATGTATTCAATAATGTAGTAAAGCTTATCTGGTCATGTGTAGTTTTCATTCACTACACCATAACAGAAAGATTTATGGATATCCAAATCTTTCTGTGTGTTGTACATCTTATCACAACTCATACAAACAAACACGTTCATGGGCGTGTACCGTGTTGAGGCAGGGCTCGTGCGTCCAATTTCACGCCCAACCCTCCCCTCACGGGCTGTTATGTCCAGGGTAGGGGCAGGAGAATGTTCCCATTCATGTCTCAGTGTGTGTCCTTCCGCTAGTCTTCCCAAAATGCCTGTTGCATGTTTCCCACTAGCAGCAAGTTTCGCACTCAATGAAGCACTTTGTTTAGTCTCGGCAAATCTTGAGGTTGTTGCCTTCGTCCTTGTCTTCGCGGACTGGGCTCTAGGTTTCTCAGGTGGGCGGGGCTGTATTTGGTTTGACATGTAGTGGTCTGAGTTCGACCGCTGTCCTTCTCTTACGGCAGATGCAGGGCGTTTGTGAGAAACATTTGGGTTTTCTTCATAAAAATTCTGCACAGGAGACCTGCGAATGGAAATAGACGTTCAAGGGAAAAAGTTTTATCAGTTTCAACATGGGTTTACTGTAAAGACAACTTTTTTGAAAAAAAGTAAAGTATGGTGGTAAGAGCTGCTATTACAAAGTATCAAAAAGAAGAATTTAACTTGGAAAGAAACAGTCAGTTCGCTACAATAATTCCAATCTAAATATTGTCGTGAACTTGCTTTCGAGATCTGTAATATTACTTAATAAACAGAACCTTCTGAGTAAATCTCTCTGGTCTTCTATTAGTCCAGGTTCGTCACTGTGTTGCTTCCACAATGGAACAGGTTCTTGTACCTAAAAAATATTACGAATTTTTGACAGTTTTAAAAGAACGTTGGAAACATTGAGAGAGAACGAGAGAACGTGGTAAGTTGTTTGAATGTTAATGAGCCTATCCTGTAAGAGCAAGTGTAATAAGGGAGGGACACAGCACTAAGGCATTTACAACAGCCTATCACAACGAAGATGACTGTGCGATGAACCAATAGAAGCGTAAAGAAAATTCACATGACCGATGCAAAGCGCGGGAAAACAAGACGCGTGTGACCAAGTAGCGAGTGGATTGCCGGGATGATTTGGTTGAGTAAGATAACAAGAGTTTTAACCAATCACAGAAAATATTCAAGGAAAACCGAAAAGGGAAAAAGTTCTTGTTTTTCCACTTTCAAACGAACAATTACTCCATCAGTTTTGATCGTCAAGTCGCGACAACAGCTGCCAAGAAAAAACAACTGACAAAACACGTGCAACCACAAGAGGTAGGTAAGTGTATTTTCGGATATGATAAATTAATCGCATGCGACATTCTTCATAAGTCATTTTAACGAAGCCGTTCGTTCTTCGCACTGAGAGAGAACGAGGGCTACCGCTCAAAACGTTAGCTTTAGAAACTATTCATGGTGGCCAATTTACATTAACAATTTTGTTGACAAGACCAAATTATCCCATTCACACGAAATTCGAGGAAAATCTTTGGGAGTTTGCGTTGAGGGAGATGGAGACTGTTTAATATTGTCTTCCACTTACTTTCTTCTTGGAGATGTTTTCTCGAGCGTTCATCAAGAAAGATATAGACTTCCTCAACTTTTCATTTTGTTCCTCAAGAGTCATAATTCTGATATTGTTGGCCATAACTTGTCTCTCCATATCTTTAGCTACCTCTGCTTCTGAAGGAACTTCCCCATTAAACATCACCTCTTTGTCTGACGAGGAAGATTTCTGCTGTTTGGAATCAATGGATGGAAATTCTACCACGAGTTGAAGTTTTTCTTCACTTTCTTTCAGCTGCTGTTCAAGTTTGTTTGCCTTTGCCTCAAATTCTTCCACTTCTTGCAGAAGTTTTTCCTTTTCAAGTCTGAGTTCTTCCAGAAGGTTCTGTGTAGAAACAGAGGGGAGGTACTTGGTGTTGTGTTCCAAGTTTTAAAATTTTAACCGTGGCCAACAGTTTAGCTTAAAATGAGCTGTATTGTTGATTAATTTTGTAGATGACCACGAATAGAAAACTCTCCCTTTCTTTATTTCACGTTTTGCTCATGGCCACACCCTGAAGCCTATGAAAAGTGCCTGCTGCAGAGAACTGGCCATCTATGGAGAATTAACCTTAACACCCAGCACAAAGTGACAAAATTATTTTAACCAAAGCCACTAACACAAAAGACAAAATGCCCCAAATTACCTGCTTGGAATCAAGCTCTTCAGAGAGGTTTGTCTTTTCAGTTTGCAAACCTTCCATCACTCCTTGCAGTTCATCTCTCTCTCCTTCTGCCTCAAGCACTCTGTCACGCAGCTCCTCACATTCATTGTCCAGATTATCCACTCTTTTAAGAAGTGCATCATGTTTGCTTTGCAAAGCCTCAGGAAGTAAATTAAATCAATGTTTGCACATGAGACTCACTAAAACAGCTGGCTGCTACAACCTTATCCCTGTTTCTACATCATCAAGCATGAGCTCCTTCTAAATCACCCCTGAACCCAGCATATTGCACATAAAACCAACCAGGGATAAAAACGAGGAATTGTCAATATAGAGCTCTGAACTAAAAGAACTGAGCCAACACTTCTTCAATAAAGAAAAGCTATGGCCTCATTTGCACTCTGTGGCACACATCCAACCAAGGACTAAGAGAGCTGCTTCCCCACCCAAAAGGCTATGCACAAGTTCAAATAAAAACATATAAGATCTTGTCATCCTCTAACAGCCTGGATTTCTAATATCATTTTCACATTAAATCCAAGCTATAAGTTTAAGAGTTACATGTACACTTGGGGTTAATCTTATCACCTCCACTAACAACAGAAACCTACATATCTAACCTGTTCGTGTTTCTCCAAGGTCTTGTTCCTGGCCTGTGTTTTTCCCAATTCAATAGAAGTGTTTTTTAGTTTGACTTGTAAGTCATCCATTTCTACCTTCAGTTGTTGTACTTCAGACTCTACCACTGTTAATCTTGCTACCTCCTTAGACTCCTTATCTAACTCTGTTAACAACCTGTTGTTTTCTTCACCTGGATGAAAAGAAAACATGAAATAAGCCACACTGATCAATTTTCTGTGTTGTCTTGTGTCAACTGGCTACATTTCATTTCCTTATTTCAAAATCAGCCATGTTGTTTGCTGTTTAACTCTTGGTAAATTTGTCATTTGTCTTTGCATACTTACCTAGAGTTTTAACTGTTTCTTTATACTTCTTTTTCTTTTCCTCCAGTTTGAGCACCATACCCTGAAGGACATCTTTTCCCTTCACAAGTTCATTGTTCACTTTTTCTGCATCAGATAATAGCAGATCTTTCTCAGCAACAACTTGTTTAAGCTTCTCTTTAAAGTCCGTTTCTTTCTTTTCACCTTCACTGTCCTTATCTAACAACTGCTTTTCCAGGTCTTGGATTTGCTTTTCCAGTTGTGCACAAACTTGTTTTGACCTACTAAGTTTATCTTCCAGTGGATTTATCTGTGCATACAAATTATCCAAGTGATCATTAATTCTTGCAAGATCATGGCTCTGTTCAGATGCCCACCTGGACACATCAGCAGCAGCCATTAGCGACTGCCGCAAGAGTTTTTTCTGCTTTGCCAGCGAAGATGGAAGTCCTTGAGATTCACATACTTTTATCACCATGCTACCAACTTCAATAAGATTTTGTTGTGTTCTAGCACAAGCCTCACATGGAATAAATGCAGTGTCATAAGTCTGTGTTGATGACTCGTGATAAGTCTTTGCATTAGTAACATCTTCTACAGCAAGGGTAAGTTCCTTTGAGGGTGTAGAACTTTCTAAAGATAACTCCTCAGATGGAGAGAGAATGAACTTCACAGAAGTTCTATTAGCACTTTGGCTTTCAATTTTTCCTTGGACAACAGAAGATTTGCCTGATCTTTTATCTGATGCTTGCTTGAAGAGTTTTACCTCACTCCGCAGATCTGTTATCGTGTCTTCCATCTTGGACATTGTTTTGTTTTTGGCTTTGCTCTAGAAAACATTAATCAACTTCCATAAGTTGAAATTATCAAAGGTGATCAATATGTCATTTCTCATCTTTTGTTTTTTAATACAAGATCAAGCAAATCAGTACCCAAAAAATGAGGAGAAAGGAAGCAAAAACTATAATAAAAATGTAGTGCTAGGTCATTGTGGCCACTATAAATTAAGCAATGGATTGTTGTGTGCTAAACTTGGCCAGGTTGTCAGAGGATACACCTTCCCATCTCATGTAACCTCTAGGTCTGCTGAAGTTGGGACAATAAATAACATAATACAATTTATGATTAGCAGCTGTTGACCTCCTGTCGGTCGACAGATTTTTTTGGGGGAGTTGTTCTTCACAACTACTAAAGGTATCCACATTTTGGGAATTAATTTGTTCCATCCAATTCCTACAAAGTCTATTTTTATATCAATATGCATTCTTTTACTTTAAGAGCCCAACTTTTGCCAACATACCTAACAGAACAATATTTATGATTCTGAAAACACATCAAAGAAAAATTTGCCAATTTTTTTAATGATTCTTACCTCAGTCTGGAGTTTCTGGATGGTTTGCTGCACATGAACAAGTTTGTTCCAAAACTTTTTGGCTACCAGTCCAACAGACATACTGGAACCTAATATTTTACCACTACTAGGCCTGCCATCACATGAGGTCAGCAGTTGGTCACTGAACTGAGCCATACATTGCAGCAAAAGAACAAGTCTGTTGAGAAAAGTCAATCAGCAGATTGTTTTTGCATTCTTGAGATTATGAAAAAGTTAATCTGCCCTTTTCTGAATAAACATCAGAAATTAATAATAGTAATAATTACAATAACAACAATAATAATAGTAATAGTAACATAATTATTATCATTGTTACCACATTTATCAATTTTAGCATAAATAATATAAATAGTGGGGGCTAAAAACTACAAGCTAACCTATATCTATAATAACAATAACCTAGGAAGCAAAAGTCTTCATCAAAATAACATTTTGATGAAACATGAGTTCAGATTGTTTAAAAGGGAAACTATCTTAACTCTGCTCAAATTTAATTCCCACATCCTAAGGTATTTCCAACCACTGTCACCCTCAAAACTTATGGACTGTTTGCGCCCAAAGCCTAAATCCACCCAGAAATCTCAATAAGAAAAAGATTCTAAATCTTGAATTTTAAATCTAAACAAATGCTACCATACAGATTTCACACTGCTGTGCATCTTTACAGTAATAGATCACAGGTGATGTCAAAATATGGTAGGAACAACAAAAGTGGCACATGAGTTGCATGCGAGTGTGTCATTGATGTTCCTACCACATTTGATGTCCACTGTGATCTATTACAGACCCTTGGCAACGTTGAGATTTGTTTTATACAATAAAAAGGAAATGTTACCAATCGTGATGTCACTTATGCATCTGTTGTCCAATACAGTATAAGTAGGAACCAATCAAAATGTATGCATAGTTATTATATAATATTATTTGTATAAAAAATACCTGTCAATCAGAAGTTCAAAAAGAATGATGTGTGACAGTTTACAGTGATCTTCATCACTGGAATATGAATATCTCTCCAGTAGTTCATCAATATCCAATTCACATGCTACCTTATCGGGATATTTCCATGATGGACTTCTTAAATGTCCTACTCTGGATAATAAATCCATTACTGTCGTTTGAACGTCATTGACGTCTTGTTTCAAGCTCTCTAAACAAGCTTCACTTCCAAGTAAATGTGCCATTGCACCGAACGCTTCACCAAGAAGCGTAGTTCCTCACGTAAAAGTGGAATAAATCTCGATTGAAACCAAAGTAGATTTTTTTAATTAAAAAGACCAAATTAAATTTGTCAATTTAACTTTTTGATGTGAAAACTTGATCGACGTGTTAATTGTACTCGACACGTTCCTTTTTCAGTATTTGTTCCTTCAGATTGAAGCTAAGCAACTTTTACGCCAACATCACTGCAAGCTATCCTCTTCAAAGTTGAACAAATTGAAAGAATTGTTGCAGACATACTCTGATGTTAAGTAGTCGAAATTAATAAGTCAAGACCACTTCGACGTACACAATCAACAACGAATCTTTCCTTAGCGATCAGGAGAAGATACAAGACGCGAGAGCTGCCGAATACTTCGTAAATAATGTTATTGAGGCATGGACTTATTTTCAAACGATCAAATATTAAAATCTCTCGAAGACAAATGTGCCTCACAAGGACGCCATATTTGCTTTGGTTACAAGAAATAATCCATGATGCAACGCTTCTAGCAGAAAATAAGTCACTAGTTACCAAGCTAGCGTGTCTCACGGTTCAACATGGCGGACGAACCTGAACATTTCGTCTGTCAGTGTTTTTTCACCCATAATATTTTTCTGAATGACTACGAAGCTCACGTTACCTTCAAAAGTAAAGTTCAATTCGAGAACGAGTATCGGAAGGTACGTGGAAATTAAGACTGATCTCGGGTTTCTTGGATATCTTTGTTTTGTCACAAATTTTAAGTTCATTTATTTATTTTTTATTTTTATAATTTTTTTATTTTCCTTTTTTATTTTCTTTTTACTTGAAAGGCACTTTATCACAGAGGCTGTACAACGGACGAACAGTGGCAAGAAGTGCTTAAGCAAGTAATTCAAATGCATTTATTTCAGTAGTAAATTATTTTATTTTGTTTCGGATGTAACTATTTGTATAGTACAGAGTGTAAAGGCTGACGAAGGGCTAACGCTCGAAACGTCAGTCTTTACACTCTTTACGGTGGTTAACACTAAATTATCTGTTACACTCTCCCAACGACGCATTGCACCACGGTTTCTTTAGAAACTTACCCCCTTTATTAACTTTTTGTATACCCTAACCTGCATTTTTCGCAAGACTACTTAGGCAATGGCACTGATACTACTTAAGAAAATACGATGGGTGACTTGACGGGTTATGGTGCTCTGAGAAATTCTGATGTGCAGGCTATGTGTACTACTATTTAAATTAATTAAGATGGAATATGGAGCTGGTTCACTACAATTACTAAAAATATCTAGGAAATTATTTGTAATCCAGTGAGAATTCATAATTGGAACTGCTTTAATTACGACATTTTCAATGCATAGATAGAAGATGAAATAGAAAGAAGAAAGAAGCTTGGAAGAGATTCACAGAGGCGTAAAAAGATCATCATCACTGATTATAAACCACTTCATCCTGATGTGTACATTTTACAGGTCAATGAATAATTTGTTGATCAGTGTTAGATTAAAAATGTTGTGCTGGGAACCAATCTCAATTTACTTCATATTTGTTTTATTGGACTCTCTGTGATATTCTACTCAGTTCTTTGTTATATTGGTCACCTGCCCTTATCTTGCTTAGGATAAGGGATCTTTGCATACATATTAGAATATTCAGTAACTGTCTACCTATAATCCCCCCTCCTCCTCCTCAGGAAGAATGTTTACATTTGTTTGTTATTTTTTAACCACAGTTACTTTTGATACCATGATAATTTCATCCTTACAGGATACTAGTCTATATGTCTATATTCATATAATGTATTTCTTGCCACCATGATGTGGGTCCAGAGATACAAATGCCTACAAATATAACATGGAATTGTACTCACTCACATCTGTATTTCTATACTTCTGTTCCATCAGGAATCATTTCTTGCTGATAACTTACTTTCATTGGTGCGTTATGCTAGAGATGATGTGACAGCCACAGCTGATGGATTGCTATCCATGATAAAACATTGTGACGGCAAGTAAAAGTTTCTACTTCCTAGAAACTTTGATGAGCAAAAACTGCAACAACCCTTGGCAAGGAGCATCTTCTCAAAAGTAACAATAGACTACTTCCACTGGAGTGTCCAAAGTAATCTTTGATTGCATTAACCCTTTAAACCCTGAGAGTGATAAGCATACAATTTCTCTCTACGATATCACCTATGATTTGTGAAGTAAGGCCTTGAGAATAGAGAAAATGATCACCAACTTAAGGAGTTCTTGATTGTTAAACAAATTCTCCTTGTCAGCACCTTGGGAAATGTGTGGAGAACAGTATAGAGAATATGCATACTGATGTTAGGGCGTTAAGGGTTGGTGGTCTTTGTGTCGCTGTTGTACATGACTGGCTGAGAAAACTTGTTCTATCCTCTTACCCAATCAGATGCAAAACTAAAACCAACCAAACTTGGAAAACCACATGAATTAGCATGAACATATCAATCATGTTTTTATTAAAAATGACTGAAGTCATAACTCTGGATTAAAACATTACCATCATTATTGATAAAATTATTATTATTATTATTATTATTATTATTATTGTCACTGGAAATAAAACCAAGTAATACTATTTTGCTATTTCCTTTCAGCTGAAAAAGTCTACTCATTTCAAGTATTTACACCAGAATTTTGTAAGAAGTTTATTGAAGAAATAAGCAACTTTGAAAACACAGATCTCCCCAAGGGAAGGCCAAACACAATGAACAACTTTGGGGTGAGATTTTTGTCATTTGTTTTCAAAGATAAATTACTAGAAAGTTAAAGTAATAGAATACATGCACTAGTTGTCAAGTTAAGGGAAAAGGAAAACAGGATGTTGTAGATTTGCAGCCTCATTGGTGAAATTTTCTGTGTGTGGAGTCAAGTAAGGTCATGAGAATAAGGAAATGATAAGCAACTAAAGAAGCTCTTGACTGATTTTCAAATTCTCCTGTCAGTACCAAAGGAAAAGTACAGAAAACAACATGGAGAATATGTATACTGATACTGGCCTATAGATATAGGTTTAACAAGATGTTTGGAGAGTCTTGAATTCAGCAGTTATCAAATATCTCCAGGAATCTTAAAGCTTACAGAAAATTATTTCCTATTGCTTTTCAAAGTAGCTCAAGGTTTCTGTAATTAAATATTGTTGGAGGTGTGCAGGCTTAAATTACTGGACTATAAATATATAAGTGGTAAACACATGCACATGCACATGCACATGAACTAATCCCGATGAGAGTGCTCTTCATGTTCTAATAATAATTTATTATATAGATACTGATGAAATACCAGGATTTTTCCTTTTACTAAACAATTATATCTTCATTGTGCACGGTGAAGATACTATTTTTATCTATCACGTGTGAGGATATTGGTGTCGCTATGGTTACTAACATGATTACCCAATTACAAGAGAGCTTCCTGCATCAGGAATTTCATCAGTGTCCCTTCACTCACTCGTAAGAGATACTTTCAGCACTCAAAGATAAAATTCATATCCCTGTGCAGCTGTGTAATATCCTCCAGATGTGCATCTGGGGTTGTGAGTCATGCATAGCTTTTGAACATGTAACTGCTTGGTTTATATTGGAATATTAAAGTAAGCTTTTTTAACCTACACTCATTGTTACAGTTATTCCCCTTGAAAATTTTTGAGTATCCTTTGAGGATCACTTTTTGATGTTTTAAAATCTTTTAGACTCTAATTTTTTATTTTCAGGTTTTACTGAATGAGCTTGGTTTTGATGAGAATTTTTTTTCACCTCTGAGAACAAATTACTTGATGCCAATCACAAGATTGTTGTATCCTGAATGTGGGGGCAACGCCTTAGATTCACACAAGGCATTCACAGTACATTACAAGATAGGAGAAGATCTGGACCTCAGTTATCACTATGATAACGCTGAGGTCACTTTAAATGTTTCACTTGGTAAGGAGTTTGTTGGAGGAGAGTTGTTTTTTGGTGATATGAGACAGGTAATCTATTGTATTTTTGACGCAAAAATTTCAAATTTTCAGGAATTGCCATACATTTAATGCTTTTTGGGTATTTCTAGCAATGAAATTGAATTGTGTTACTTTTGTGACACTGAAAAACTACCTCTAGATTGAAGGAAACTAGCCTGAAGTGCAAGCATCTTATTAGGGTGAGTTAACGTTACAAGCTCGTGGTTGTTTACTCGACTGGCCATGTTTTGATTAAGATCCCCTTGGAACAAATTTCCCCGAGCCTTCCACTGCTGTAAAAATCAAAGAAAGGAGCTGTAATTCTCACCAAGAAAACACTGAGCACTCGCTCGCCAAAATCATACCTACTCTGTAGACTGGAAACCTCGGAATTATGGCACTACAAGCAGTCCCCACCCCCCTCCCCATTTCGGTGAAGTCCTTAGCGTGGAGCTTCGGGAGTGAGGCGCGCAAAAAGTGCTACTTTTTGTGCGCCTGAATCTCAGATTCAAAGTTCCGCGCGCCGCGCTAACATAATTTATTTTCGCTGATTTTTTAACTCGCGAAGCTGACTTTGCAGTCAAAAAATAGTGGATTGCATGGGTTAACCTTTGGGAGGTAAAACAACAAATGGGACACCTTACATAAACAAGTAGTAGTTTTAATTTACCCTTGGGCCTTTTTAGGTCCCCCTGAGAGATACAGAATGTACCCAGTGTGAACATGTAACAAGTTACGGACTTCTTCACAGAGGTCAACATATGCATGGAGCATTGCCCATCCAATCAGGAGAAAGAATCAACTTGATTATCTGGATGCGTAGTTCTGTAGTGCGTAATAAATTGTGTCCGATGTGTGGCATGGAGCCTAGACTAATGCCATGTTCTGGTGAGGGGGATGGATTTACCACCGGAAATTCTGTGCCAGTCTGTTCAGCCCTTTAAGCAAGGCTAGAGGCAAAGCAAGAAGGGACCCTGAGCAGGTAAAAAGAAAACAATTGGATTCCTTCCCCTAGATTACTGCGTCATATCAAATATTCAGCCCAATTTGTGATCGTCTGGATGACTGTAGTCCTGAAAAGGACTTTTGTCAGCGACAATACCTTTCCTTTAGCCTGATCTGAAGTCATCTTAGGAGTCGACTGAATTAATTCTTATGTATTATAGTAGTCTGGCTACAAACGCTTTGTTCTTGTTTGTCTGTTTGTTTTGTTTGTTTTTTATTTTTAGTTACGCAAGAAAGCGCAAGGCGAGCGAGAAAGCGCGAAGTGAGCGAGGTAGCGCTAACATGCACAAGGGTGAAGCGAGCGCGAGGGTGATCGAGAGGTAATAGGAAAATTTCTCTCCTCAACTAAACCCCTTTGAATAAAAATGCAAAGAACTCTTTCATACGAGAACCTTCCTTTGAAATGGGCCGCCTGTATCGTTAAGCTTTCCTGGCCTCAAGTAAATCGTGTGGTGTTTACACAGGCTGAAATCGAGACATAAACAAATATTTCTATCATCCTCTGATAGGGGTTGTTTGAGAAAGTATTCAGTTTTGGCTCGAATTTTTTATCCCCTGGATATGCATCCACTGCAGTTTCCCATGATACCAGTATTGAGAGCCATCACATGATAACTTTTAGGGTGTTAAGGGTTAGTGGTCTTTGTGTCACTGTTGTACATGACTGGCTGAGAAAACTTGTACTATCCTCTTACCCAATCAAATACAAAACTAAAACCAACCAAACTTGGAAAATCGCATGAATTAGCATGAACATATCAATCATGTTTTCATTAAAAATGACTGAAGTCATAACTCTGGATTAAAACATTACCATCATTATTGATGAAATTATTATTATTATTATTATTGTTATTATTATTATTATCGTTACCAAGTAATACTATTTACTATTTCCTTTTAGCTGAAAAAGTCTACTTAACACCCTAACAATGATAAGGACTTTTATTTCAAAACGACAAAAATTACATTTAAGAAATCAACTTAGGATCACCTTGAAAACACCTATGCATCACAATTCATATGCCTTATGCAAGTTACTTAACTGAATAGGATGCTTAAACTAAAAGCTCCTTAAAGTTCAGTATGCACCTGAGCATCCTCAAGATCTCCGGTGACATCCACAAACCCTCCAATAGAGTTTCCAAGCTTGAGTTTCAACTTCTTGCCAGTGGTCACTTTGTCTAGATGAATCACGCGGATGGTGAGATCTTCATAAGTGCGAAAGTACATTGCCTTGTTGGTGAGGTCCTTGACCACAACCCAAGAAGTGTAGTCAGGCATATCTGGATGATCATGGGATGCGGCGACTCCGCGAGGAATATCAACAGTGTTCATGATGTGGAAAGCCAAATTCACCGCCTCATCACTTTTCTTGGCAGTATCAGCAAAGTGCACCATGGCTGCAGAACGTACCAGTCTCGATGGAGGAGTGAGATCTCCTGGGACACCAAGAAGTCCACTTCCTTGGCCAGTGGGTGGGAACGTTGTTTCACCCAATACCAAAGGATCATGAGCGAACTTGGAAAGCTGGACGTAATTGCGGAGGTTCAGCATTTGGAAGTCATAGGGTGGAGAGTTGGTCACGACACCAATTGTATTTTCGTGCAGCTTTGGTCCCTGTTCGGTGTACTCAATGACGATTCCGTCACCACTTTTGTCGGTGATGGACCAGTGCAATTCGGAGATGGACCCGTTCACAGATTGTCCCCACACAAGTGGAAATGAGTCCTTTTTCCAAGCCATTCGCACCTCTTCAGCAGTTGCGAAGTTGCCTAGAATCCATGACAGGAACTGCGAGTTGGAAATGGCCGAGCCGCACTTGTCCTGGGGGACAACCTGATATTTGGCAAAAACAGGAAACATGAGTGCACCAACGGAAAGTCCAGCGTCATTTTGGCCATCAGTTGCATAAGGCAAATTCCAAGCGTCAATGTAAGCGATCTTGTAGCTGTTGGTCCAGGTTATTGCTGGTGAACTACGGGAACAAGTCTTTGGCAGTTCTGCAGTGTGGGGGTAATCATTGGGCTCCACCACGACATGCGACGAAAGATCCATAATAAACTCCATGCTCCGCCCGACTATGACGGTTTTGTCCTCGGCGATCACTCGGATCTCGGTACAAGCGTCAGTGGCAAGAAAAAGCTTTAGCAGTATTGGAACCACGAGTGCAAACTTCATTGTTTTAGAGGATTCAGAAAGGCGACAATCTGAACAAAGATTTCTTTCAATGTGCAACAAAAATGTTTCACCTCTTCTTTTATAGTGACCTTCAAGGAAATGCAAAACACGTGTCTATTATTTAGGAATGACACTTATCAAAAACATCACATTCGAGAGGTTTCTTAATTAAAATATCACGACCCCCTGCAGCCAATTTAAAACTTAATGAGTGGCCTACATTGTCAACTAAAACACTGAAACTTCCTTTAAGTGCTTGAGATCGTTTACTATCAGTAAGCATATCCCAAAAATGAGTAAATAGATAAGTAAATATCGTCTTTTCATTTATCATTTGAAGAATTATAGTAAAGAGGTCAACCCTGTGGAAAATTTCTCTTAAGCTAAGGTAGACATACAATCTTTCTTCGCATACAATAGTTTAATTGGCTATTTAAAATGGTTGATCTGTTTGGAAACTGATCAAACATAACATATTTATAGCATAGTTAGTAAGGCTGTATAGTGATAAAACCCAACTTTTTTTTTTTTTTTTGCAGTTAGCGGTCTTCGTTAGATTTTTGGATCTTGCTTTTCTCATCATTTGACAGTATTCCACTCATTTCTAAGTAACTTATTGACAAAAGCTGCTGTTGGTTTGTTCAGTCACACTGTGGAAACACTAAACCAAAAGATTATGTTTGGTCGGGAACCTCCCATGGATCTTATCAAGGAGCACCGTTGTTTTCATCTTTGATCTTTGCCGGCTCTCTAGACAAGTCACCAATTAAATTTTTTTTAATTGCTATTTTTGTTTTATCAGTAGTTTTATCTTACAAGTCACCACTATAAAGATAATACTTTACTTAATCATGGTTGCCACAGGTCAGGGAAAAGTCTGGAAATTTTACATTGAGTCAGGGAAAATTTACCACGGAAAATTTACCAGTCTGATATAACAAGGCTATATCTCAGACTGACTAAAACTGCAATCAATTGTTCTCATATTTTATGGCCGGACACACCTTGATTAAACGTGAGCTGATTGGCTATAAAGATCTTTCAGACAAAAGAGAAACAAAGCTATTCCTCAGAGAAGACAGAACGAGACGCTCGTTTTCTGGGCCGATACTTCACTGTCATTACATCAAAATAAGCTTAAATCAGTACTAAGTATCCTATTTCTGACACTTAAGGCCTGAAGAAATGACTTGAGGTCCTTATTTTCAACTTTGGTCAGGAATGACCATTTCGTTACGAGTTTTTCCTCTCTTTTCTAAATACATGCAGTGACTTCGTGCAGAACTTTTAAGGCAGCCATGATCGAAATGACCACAAATGATGAAAAACAATCGCACGAGCCCAACGTGAGGTCGCAACGCGCGAAAATTGCAAAATGTAAAAAAATCGCATTTAAAAATATTTTTGTCACTATCTGCGCCTTCCATATTGACTAATTATATCTATTTTATTCTTTTAAAAATGAGAACTTCGATCTTCGATATCCCAGAATTTTTTAAAAAATATCCCATATCCCTTTAATTTTCCGCCCTGTATCCCTAAAACTTTTTACCTAAATATCCCGTATCCTGATGACCCCTGGTGAGGCCACTTAAGTTGGTTTGTGAATGAAATGGTATGCTTTTTTATATATATTATTTCCACTGTCCTCTAACATTTTAAATTCGTGCACTGGTACATTTCAAGGTCATGAGACGTGTTGGATCAGTAGAATATTGTTTAGTGTTATTGTAAGACAAGCTGATGCTGAGTTTCCAAGGAATTCCAACCCCTTTTTCCACTTTAAATTCATGTACACTGCATGTGACTTGCTGGAAGCGCAAATAAATTAAAAAAGGCGGAGAGGATGGCTGCGAGGGAGGTCGGAAGCCATCATCAAGACTATTCTGTGAATTGTTAAGTCACTGGTCAGGGAAATTTTACTCTTGTCAGGGATAATTCTGGGATTTTCAAAAACCAATGGCTGTGGCGACCATGTTCGTGAGGGTGGCATTGAATTACTGATTAGTAGTTTGCATAGTAGCCCTCTCAAATCTGACCTAAAACTAGCGTGAAATTTAACAATTGGTTCATACGTCAGCGTGCGTTCATCGAGATATGAACGCACAGCTGACGTATGAACCAGCGCGTTGATAATTTTGTTTCAGGAAAACATTTCGCTACGCTATAAACGATCTTGTCTTAGATTGGTCAAAAAACTGACAGGTGAATTCATGCGTGTAAATGAACTTTATTTCCTGATTGAATACAAAATTCTCGAGGGATTTTGCTGGCGTCATGAGCGTGCACAATAGGAATATGAAGCACGCTCACGCAATTGAATTTGATAAGACAAATTTACGCGCTATGTTATAAAAACTGTTAATACAAGTTAAAAAAAAAAGAAAGAGAGAGAGAGGGGGGGGGAGGGGAGAGAGAGAAAGAAAGTTAATACCTATAGTGGATATTTAATTGGGCAGTAGAAGAGTTACTCAGTATTTTCTCAGTTCTTTGGAGGTCTCTTAACCCTTTACCTCCTATGAGTGACCAAGAGAGAGTTTCTCCTTACAATATCAAGCAGACATGTGATGATAATGAAGTAAAATATCAATTAGGGGATTATTAGTTGATCCAATACCAAATTCTCCAAATTGACATCAAAAGAATTGTAAGTCAAACAGTAAAGAGAATTACTAATGAGGTCATGGGAGTCAAAGGGTAAAAAAACGCTTCTGTGAAAAGATATCTCCAATGGGCAGGTCTGTTCTGCCCCACAGATACGTGGCACTGGCATGGATTGTTTTGAGGTTGAATTTTTCTTGCCCTAAGGAGTGATAAATTTTTTTTTTCTATAGGTTTTCGTATCGTGTCCAAGATTACCCTTTCACAAAGGTAGAAAATATTCACGACCGTGGTTACTACATATTTTATGGAGTAGGGTTGTTTTCAGCGCGAATGATAACGTCAGAAGCGGTAATAAGATAATTTCTTCTTGAGGTTTTCGTACCATGTTTAAGAATACCATTCAACATAGGTCGAGAATTACTTCCGACTACGTACATCACAGACTTTATGATGCAGACAAGTCTTCTTACGCGAATGATACCTATACAGAGAGAAGTCTTCTTTTATGTTTACGTAGTAAACCTCAAAAATGGATAACTCGCGAAAATGGATTCTTTTCAACATAGTAAGCGGTCAGATAACAAGCAATGCACTCTGGAAGTAAAGTAAAGTATTTTTATTGAGAATTTGACTGCATTTTTTTTATTCCCCAGAGCGGTCGTAAAGATTTCTATACAAACTCTCATAGTTTCGCCATGACTTGCAGCTGGAGTTTGCGCCGCCTGTGATGATTTAACCGAAAGAATGTCAGGATTAACTGAATAAAATCAAATTAAATCAAACGGTAATTTTGATGAAATTTTTATCACAAGTCGTGACTAGTAAGTTAAACAACTAGCGAGTAACAACAAAAGGAAAAGAAAATCAGTGGTGACTGGCCTGGAGAGCCGGTAAAGATCAAAGACGAAACAACAGTGCTCCTTGATAAGATGCATGGGAGGTTCCGGACCGAACATAATTTTAAAATAGCGATTAACAAAGGAAAGAATCAATGGTGACTAACCTGAAGAGCCGGTAAAGATCAAAGACGAAACAACATTGCTCCTTGATGAGATGCATAGGAGGTTCCCGACCGAACATAATCTTTTGGTTTATAATTAGTGTTCCCGCAGTGTGACTGAACAAATCAACCGCAGCTATTGTCAACAAGTTATTTAGAAATGAGTGGAATAATGTCAAATGATGGGCAAGGCAAGGTCCACATCAAGGATCTGCATACATCGAGGATTTTGCAACTCTCAATGCGGTGAGAGGATCATCGCACGAAATATGATCCAGCGATATCACGTGTAATAGTTACTGTTTTTGGAGTTGATCGTCAGAGATAGTACGAGTTTTCACGCGTAGTTTCCGATGAGTTTAAATAAGTAAATACTTTATTATTCATTTCCGTTTTCTCGTGAATTATTTGGTTTAGCAAGTTTACCAAGTCTTAATCCCCCATGACTAACCGGCCCATAACCCAAACATGTTGGGTCTATGAATTGTAACTTCTTTGGCTACATTCATAAAATCTGTAAACCAGAGTAGCATCAAACCATTTCTGATTGTCCACCTGGTTGTCGTGTGAACTTTAATATATTACGAAGGCTATTTTTTACCTTGGGCTCCCTCTGGGAAGTCCAAGTAATTAGTGTTCCCACAGTGTGACTAAACAAATCAACTGCAGCTGTTGTCAATAAGTTACTTAGAAATGAGTGGAATATTGACGATGGGCAAGGCCAGGTCTACATCAAGGATCTGCACACATCGAGGATTTGCAACTCTCAATGAAAAAAAATTGTGAAGTTAATTACAGGCGGCCCAAGCTCTAGCTGTGAGATGATCATCTTAAAAAATATGATCCAGCGATATCGCTGTAGTACGCGTAGTTTCCGATTAGTTTAAATTATTAAATACTTTATGATTCGTTTCTGTTACCTCGTGAAATTATTTGGTTTAGCAAGATTACCAAGAGTCTTACTTCCCCAAGACCAACCAGCCCATAACCCAAACATGTTCACTAACAGAATACTTAAGTAGTTGTGTTAGAGTGATTAGTTGACAAAGAAAATGTTGATTAGAACTGCTCAAAAGCTTCGTTGTGCAGACAAGACATGCATGCAACTGTTTTAAAATAACGCTAAGGGGGCGAGTGGCACTGAGGCTTGTTCTATTCAGATGAGATGTTGTCGTGAACGGCCTCGCGACAAATCATCACACGCGAATAGTCGCTAGTACGATCACAGGTTTTATTCATTGTTTTCCGTCTCGATAGATATCTCAGGATTGATTGTGTAATTCTATACTAGAGGGTTTAAGGTCCAACACAGGCGGTCTAAGCTCCAGCTATGAGATGATCATTTTGTGAACTAAGAGTCATGGCTCTTACACATACACAAAAACCAAAAGGTCAAGATTGCAGCAGTTAAAAATTCAAAACAAATATTGATGGAACACTGGAATCTGATACACAATCAGCCCTTGCTGAAAACAATTTTTACAAAACTTCCGATCATCTTTTACAAAATGGGAAAATCCCGTGAAGTGTATATGACACGAAAATTTTTCCCTGGATTTTGGCAGTTCAATATGTATGATAAGCTGTGAGACAGTTTAAAAATAATAACTTTTTTCTCTGACCGCTTTTCTTCAAGCAAAACTTGCTCGATTTCGAAATAAAACTGTCTCAGGAGACTGGGAACGAGAAACAAGGTTATGACGTCACGTTGTTTGATCGCTTGTTCAGTATCTGTCAAATCGGTCGCTTTCCACTACGTCTGTTTCCACGACGTCCAGTGATTCTGAGGTCAGTAATGAATTGTGTGACTCCTCTAGGAGTCTCGATTGGGAGCGGAGTGACAGTTATGAAAGAGAAACTAGAGTTATCGATGGTGTTATCATCCCATATGAAGATGAGCCGCTTGCGAATTGTGGCGAAGAAGTTGTTGAAGTCCTAAATGTAATAACTGTCCTAAATGTAATAAAGTCCTAAATGTAATAACATTTGGTCGTAAATGTAATAAAGCCCTAAATGTAATAACGTTCGGTCCTAAATGTAATAAGCCTCCTATGCAATCGTTTAACTACGCTAACATTGAAATGTTAAAGTGACAGCTGTTGCACTAAAGAATCCTCTGACCAATATTTATGGAATATTACGGGCTCACTGATATTAATCAGCGTCTTTATTTATTAAAGAGGTAGGTTGAGAAGCATTGGCTACAAAACCTTATACTGATACTAATGTGCTTTTGGCATCAAATTGACGGACGCAAAAGCAACGAGAACGTTGACTAATAGCTCTCTCTATATCATTGGCTCAGACTCTTAACTGTAACAGATTTTGACGAAATACTTCTGTCATCAGTGCTGAAGTTAACACTTCATAGACCGAATTACAAGGAAAAAGAAGTCCACCGACTTATACGTGATATTGGCTGAGTTCTTTTTTTTTTTTTTTTTTGCGTTTTTATGGACGGAGACGAGGTCACGGTCCATAAAAAAGTAGAAAAAGAACTAGGCTA